GGCTCATAGTAACACCACCCATCAATCTTCTTCGTAGTACTTTTCTGTGTTCGTGATGTCATATTTCCACCCTTGTGTTAGTCCAGTATTCAACCAAGACAACCATGCTACGCATTTGGTATGTGTACACACTCCTATCTCACATGTATGACGAACAAATCTGACAAATATAAAATTGGATTGAATCATATAAAATTAATTGATTGGCTTAATCAGTTGCTTATTGATAGATTGAGAGTTCCTTCCTACATAAACATTAATTTATTAACTCAGTGACATTTTATATAAGGTGTTTTCAGGCCTCAATTTTTCAGTATTTACACAAGTTTCGCAAATGACACATCTCTATCCGAACGTTACCAAATGGACTAATTTCTAGCTCTATGGAGCCTATAAAAGTCCAGAAATATCTTGAATGACTTCTAATGCCAATGAAAATATGCATAACCATTGGCGTACTCTTATTGCATTCGTGAACGTTCACTCATTATTTTGCTAAAGTTGATCTCAGCATCATGATGAAATCATTGGAGTCAGAATGCGACCACCTCCAACGGGCACTTCTTGCCCGAGTCCTTTGATGTTACGACGTTTGTTCAGGCACTGTAGATGAAATATAGGGTGCACCCCAGTTGTCCGAAACCCAGTTGTCCGAAACCCAGTTCTCCGAAACCCAGTTGTCCGAAAAATTTAGTCATAATTTACCAGATAAAGGGGGACGCACCTCAAGCCAGTTTCATGTCATGTATTTGGCAAAATCAATGGCATGGACGCATTCTGATGTATAGATCTCTCTCTCACTTTGAATTGCATCCATTACACGGCGTTACCAGAATGACAGGAACGGGGGATTTATTTTACATTGTGATTCTAAAAAAGGTCATCAAAACACAATATATATTACGGAACAGTTGATCTTATCTTATTCAATATATTTTATATAGGCAAAATAAAATGAAACATTTTGAAACCGATAAAATAAGTTAACGCATAAAACTTTAAGAATAAACAGTAAGCCTACACATATTACGTTGTCAAAATGTTTCGTCGCATTTAATTTCTTAGTCTCTGTCTCCTCTTATCAAATCGTAAAATGTAAAAGAACAAAACATTCTAAACGTAATCACTTGGGATTAACTGGAAACGAAGACAGGCTGTCCTCGTATCAAATTGGATGTTCTCCCATTCGCAAGAAGTTTCATTTTCGCCATGTAGGCTTACTCACTTCATCTTTTTGAATTTAATCTCTATTTCCCGAACAGAGTACCTAAATGAAGAATAATTTTTGGTTTCAAAAGATGTACACGTCAACTTTACTCAATAAATGCCCACTGGCTTGGGAAAACTATTTCCCTTTTATGAACGCCCATCACACATTGGAAAAATGTTGTTCCCTCTCAAAAAGCCCCATGGGGCATAAAGAAAATTGGTTTAAAAATTGTAGACCCCTATGTATGTTAATATGTAAACGCCACTTTGCAATGAAAATATCATAATTTAACTTTGTTTATAATTTGAAGATCTGTATCACCTGTATTTTCATCTTTCGACAGTTTTTATTAGGCTAAATACTAGCTTCACGATCACTTTTCATTTGATATTACATCCTAGCACTATGAATAACATTTATAAATTGCCCTGATGTAAATAAAATGAAAAAAGTATTATTTATCAACAGAAATTTAAAATTCACCGGGCGGCTGCCGTGGGAAATGTGACTGCAAAAGTATGAGATCGCAGAATTTCTACGGCGAGCGTGGAAAAGCTATTGGCCGCAGAAATGATAGACCGCACGGTGGCCGTTGGAAATGTGACTGGGGTGTAATTCCAATAATTGGGGACACATATGCAATCCACGTTATTCTTCAGGAACAGAAAATGCAACCAATGATAAAATAAAAAATTGCATTTTGAATCCGACTGAGTCCTATTGATCCTCATAAATTACCCCCTACTCATACCAAGTTAAAATGTGCCCATCGTGCGCCTAATGCTAATGGCGCTGTCACACTTGTCGTGTCCCGTCCCGTCTCTCAACGTACAAAGCATTCAGGCCAAAATTTAAGGAATAAGCTATAGTGAGCTGTTTCAGAACGCCGTCTGAAACGCGTTCTGATTCTGAACCCACTGTATTCATTGGACGGTGGGAGGTCGTCCATGCTTACACTTTCCGTATCTGACCCTATTATCACACCAAACTAGTTCTCACTACGCTCTCGAGAACGGGCTTAAACTGTATGGACGGATTGGAAGTACTTAGAACCGTTTGGGGTCTACTTGCCTACCCGAAAGGGTAGTTCCAAAATTTCCACGTGGTCATCACTTTCTGCAATCACGCGGTCTTCGACCGTTAATTGGAATTTTTGACCTACCAGATGCTTGAAAATCAAGGATTGCGAGTCTGATACTGCACCTTTTTTCTTCCATTATACCATTAAAAGCAAAACAAAATTGCACTTCTGTCAGTGCATTACTTTATTGTAAAGAGTCTCTCGTTCTAGCAGCGTTTTGGTCCGCACTCCCCAGCTGTTAGAAGGCCTTCTTACAGCTGGGAACCAAAATTACGCTGGAAGTAGGAACTCTGTTTAAGATAATAACGTACCATCAGAAAGAGATTTTTGTCATGCTTTGAATGGAACAAGTTTGAAGAAAAACGGTGCAGTATGAGACCGGCGTAATCCTTGATTTTCAAATATCCGGTACGTCAAAAATTCAAATTAACGGTCGAAGTTAGGACCGCGTGGCAATTATATCGAGTGACAATGTACTAACGACGAACAGGACGTGGGGCAAAGGTTGAACTGTCTCAGAATGTATAGGGAACGAGGTAGAAATAAAGAATTCATATGAACGAGTCATGCAAGATACTAAAGAGATACAAATGCATTTTGATACTCAGTTTTTGGGCAATTAAAACTCCCTGTCTGCATTGAGTAGTTATTTATTGTCCGGTGTATAATTTTTAAACATTATCCTAATTTTTCACAAAACTTTTTTTGATTCTGCAATAGTTAATGGTTGACATCTATGGCACACTAAAAACGATTTTTTTTTATGCAGGGTACGTACATGATACAAATCAAATCTTGGCTCTACTACAAACTATTACACACTTACTTCAACAGTTCAATATATCGCAAAACACAGTTTTGATTTTGAACAATATCACCAATGGGAGAAATTCTTAAATCTAAATGTTTGGAAAGGAATACGTTTCTACTAAAACATACAAACCTCTAATATTATGATGAAAAAAGGATAGACATCTGATATGTATATATGCCACATATATAAGCTTAAGTTATACGAAATGAGCATATTTTATTGATTTATCGAAAATTTGGACGAAATCTTAACAGTGGGTGGTACTGAACAACCAAAATCTTCTTTTTAGATATTTTTCAGGGTAGAAATAATATCAATTGATATTGGAAAACATAATTAACCATATTTTATTGAGAAAAGGGAATGAAAAAAATCATCAAATGAATATAATTGTCACGGACGTCCATACGTTATTCTAATGAGATAGATGTTCCTTTCGCCAGAATATTCTCTTCGACTGTGATAATTGTCTAAAATGTTGGCGGCAGTCTTGAATTTTCACCAAGAAGGAGTGCGATTCGTGCTGGACAATGCGGTTCAAAATTTGTAGAATGTCCATATAAGTCTATGTGCCGAGAATCTAGTAAGAATATATATATGATCGTGAACTTTCGGACCCATTATTGACCGGGCTAACCGATGTCAACGTGATACCAATGTTATGCTGTCCTGATTCGCGAGGTTGCGACAAGATTCGTTACTAAGAAATTTAATTTTTTAATTTTCGGAGAACTGGGTTTCGGAGAACTGGGTTTCGGAAAAATGGGTTTCGGAAAACTGGGTTTCGGACAACTGGGTTTCGGACAACTGGGTTTCGGACAACTGGGTTGACCCCGAAATATATAGGTGACATCTATATTACAGTGTCTTATTTAAAGGCATAGAGTTTCACCGAGAGTTGTTGGAAGCAATCTTTCCAAAAAACATCCCCTATGGGCTACTTACAATTCTGATTTATTATCTGAATAGAAGTGCCATTCCAAACATGGAAATGTGCCTTGGTACTTAAACCAACTTTTCTCCCTTACTTAATAGACACAGTGATAGAGTTACTGTTTTACCTTTTCAGATATTAATGATAATTCCTTATTAATTTAATTGTGTTGGATGGCCAAACCGCCAAATCATTAATTTCAAGAATGTCCTTCATAACTGGCAGAATTATTCCATGTTTGGTATTTTCATATGGTGGTGGTACTAAAACAAGCTCTTCACCAACAAATAGAGATACCAGGTGATCTTTTCGGATATTTATGATAATTATTTAAATTGCAAACAAGAGCATTCCTCCACCACTCACAAAGCAATTTCGTGTTTGTCTTGGGAACTGCCGGTGTAAAAGGGTAGGAGGTCCTATCAAATTATGGTCCTACTCTCCATTGATTTATATGGTGACCTAAATACAACTCTTTCCCTCATTATCTTATACGCAATCAGGGCCAGTAAGGGCCGTTAAGAAAGGGGACCATAATCCCTGGGGGACCATCATTTCTTTCACACCGGGACACCTGCTATGAACTAGTGAAAATACATTCCACGATATTCTGGCATTGGCATACGCAGTTTCTTTTGCATATTCCAATCGAACGTTTCCTATCGTCGCATGTTGATCTTACTACATAGACCCTGCAAGGGAATATCGTAACCGATAATCGTATATAATGACATACATCTGGTAATGAAGTTACAGTACTTACATGTACCCTGACCCTGTTACATGTGTTAAGCTGAGGTATTTTTCAAAAGTTATCAATGGAAGGCATCAGTTACTCTCAAACTATATTCATTCATACTTAAGTGCAACAAATAAACAAATACAGTAAACATCTGCAAACACTCAAAAGTTGACCGAATTTTATCACGGTTTATTATATTCAGTGTACACACACGACAACCGCATCTATTACCTTCAGACTTAAAGTCAGCACCTCAGAGGACGTTTTACTAAGTGAACTAAATTAGTACCAGTAGAAGAACAAGTAAGGTATTCATGAAGAACTAAAATTGCACATGAAAAATAATTTTGATGACAATACTTGCATGCATACCCTTTGGATTAGTTCCACTTCGCTTCTTAAAAGAGAGCTTCGCCGTCAGTAGTTTTGACAAAACGCTACGCCCAGGATAGTAAAGTATATGCACAGTGATTTTGCTTATTAAAAGATACATCTGTATAGCCTATGTTCCATTCCATTCATTTCAGGTCAACAGGAATCTCTTAACAGTTGCAATAAAAACTTGAAGAATCAAGATGCTGTTTGCAGTAGGTGCTTCGTTCGTCTTCACTTTCATTCTTGGTAGCTTGTGGTACTCTCCCCTGTTGTTTGGACGTACCTGGGCTAGGTTAGCCTACCCAAACACACGCATGGAAGATCTGGGTAAAGGAGGATCATTCGTGTACCCAATGGTGGTTAGCAATGTTGGACATTTGTTGATGTGTGCCTTCCTTAACATGCTTCTCAGGTTTGTAAATGTTGTAAGAAACACCTACATCTTTATAAAAATTCTAATATTTATTCACTAAAAGTCCGGAAAATAAGTTAACATATAAATGAATCAGAAGGGATTGAAAACATGTTGGGGCCAGCGGTTTCTTTACAATCTTAATTTATCTGTGTGCTGGCATTAATTGCATATTTTCATATTTTATATCATATATTATTATAAATTGTATGTTTTCATGTTCAACTCATAAAATTGTGCACCTTTATGGTTTTTCCAATTTTTGGTAATGCACTGATATACCCCTATGGGTATCTAGTGTGTAAATGTAACATTTGATAATAATTATATTACATGAATAAAAAGAATTAAATTATAATAAATATAAAGTTATTAAGATGCTATTAAAATGATGTGATTAGTTGTATTTTTACATTATGAAGTTTTCTATTATCGTGGACACCTTCAATTTGCTCCTATGCATCATCTATAAAATTATGAAATAATTTGAATGACACTTTGTTTATTGTGCCACATACTCATTCACGAAAAGGGAAAATAACCTACTAATGATTTATTTTCTAGGAATTATATCCATGCGAGCAGCATCCAAGAGGCCACCCAGAGCTCACTTCTTGTTGCTGTGATAGTCGTATCTCCCCAGGTCGCCCACACAGCCTTCCAGAAGAAACCATGGCTCCTTTACCTCATAGATCAGAGCTACGATGCCACGGTCATTGTGGCCTGCAGTGTAATCATGACATGGCTTGGCTAGAAAATGACGTTATATTGTCTGATAGACTAGTCTGTGCTCAAAGTGACCCACACAACCGATGAGAGTTGGAAACTACATTACCATATTATGCCTAGGTCACATTTGCTCGATTCAGTTTGGTATGTGTATGTCCACACTACTATACCTAACACCTAGAAATGCATAAGATACTTTGTTTGTCTAATTGAATTGTTTAATATATTTTTGAAAGTGCCTTACTAGCATCTAATTTTCAACCGATAAACCATTCATAAGGAACAGACAAATAAAAACAAATACATAATCATTACTAATAAGCCAAATGGGTTGCTCATGAACACCTAATGCAAGGTATAGTAGTGTGATGTTAGACCTGGATTTTTTTCGAAGAGGCATACCGGACATTGGATGTTACAATAACCATAACTAGCAGTGTGTGATGAAATACTTTAGCTTGCATAAATATGTAAACGAAACAGCATTTTACTTGCTTTTTGTGTTAGTCAATAAACAGCCTGTGATTTTAATCAGGGCTTTGCTATGCACAGGAGTATTGTCACATAAATAGTGAATATTCTTTTTATTTAGAGGTCAAGAAAATTCAACATTAATCCGTTAAAAACACCCCTAAACCATCGGATTTGTAAGCGCTACATAGCAGGAGATCCCAATGTTACAAGACTGAGGCCCAACCAACATATCCAGAATTGACAATACACATACATTATTATACATGGGCATAGCCAGGAGGGGGGGGGGGGGCGACCCATTTGGCAACCAATTCAAATTGCAAAAATTTGCCAATTCAAAGACAAGACATTAACATGACAAAATGTCACCACCTACAGGTGTAGTTGCCAAAATTATGAGTTCAATTCTAAGTCAGTTTTGAATTTCTAGTGTGTTCTGAGATTTTGTAGACGATTTTTTAAAAAATTGGTCAATTTGAAGCAAGTTGAAAAAACTTTTGACCTTGAGATAAGACATACACCCACTAGGGTGTCATTATCACTGATATGTATATATGTTTATATGATTTTAATAAATAAATAAAAAAAATAAAAAATTGAAAATCTCTGAAGTCAGATTTGAACTTCTGACAACTTGAAGATGATTTTGAAAAAATTGGAATCGGTCTAAGCAGTATTTGTTAAGTAATTGTTGGAAGTTCTAAGAATTTGTTGACACCAACCACAGGCACAAAAAATGGTGTATCATGGTTCAAATGTTGAAGATCTGATTTGTCCAATAAATTGGACCATTTGGTGTTAAAATTCACAATTAGATAGCATTGAGTAAGTAGTAGTAGAGCTTACTCTTCATTTGTATAAATTGTGAAGGTAATAAAGCATTACTTTGGGTCCAAGTGCTTGACTTTAAATCTCCGGCAATTTTCCAATTTGCTCAATTCACCAAATTAAGTGGACTAACAGTATCTAATTGCTTGTGATGTAGGCAACAACTTGGGGATATTACTTTTCACTGGGTGAATCAACCTATAGGAAAGGAGCAGACACAAGGAGTTGACAAGAAACTATGCCAATAGAAGTCCATGTCTTCAAATTGCAATGGTTTGGTCAGCATAAATTCTCAACTCCTAATTGTGTTGTCCTTTTGGTAGTCGAGAGGGACGATGGTAGCTGTTTCAATCTAGATTCTTTGTGCAGCTAAGTCTGCAAGCTATTCCATGAATGCAATTTCACTTATATTGAGCCTTCAACTTTAAACTTCACTGACAAAACACAATTATTTCCATTCACAGCTTTTTTAATGTCATTTTTTAATTTATACAGATTATTTTGACTGTGAGTCCCCACGACTTTTTGAGTGAGACGCAGATCGTCTTCGCTCCATTTTACGTTCTTTAGCCTCCTTCATTCTTTGTGCTAGAAGTTTGGCGTAATCTGCAGCATCCTCACGTTTCTTGGTGGAACGTCTCTTCTTGAGGGCTAGCTTGTGGCGCTTGCGTTGAAGAACAACTGGGGTGACCAACCGTTGGATCTTTGGGGCTTTAGATTTGCCACCTTTCTTGCCTGCAAGCACAGAAATCAAATCATAAATACAAGATTTACGTACTGTATTTAATTCATTCTTCCTCAAGTTCACTACACTGTTTTTAATTTTTGTAATGAAATGGCTGGTTTAAGATTATATATTCACATTAATAATAGTTTGATAAAAGTAAGAGGTATATATATTAAAGAACCCTAATTTACATGTCCGTACAGATAGAGAACACCAACGAGACAAAATAGCAATGAACTAGATAATTGTTATTTTGGAACAGCATTTGGTCATTAAAAGGATAACAAAGTATATCCACAAAGTACAACTGTATCACACAATTTTCTACATTGTAATATTGAATTTAAAAATGGCACTATTCTATTTCACGTGTTACATATTTTGTGAAAATGTGATATTTTGACAACAAAAATCCAGATTTCTCCAACTGGGGTAAAAGTAGGAAAAAGGACCCCCATAAAACTGATCTGAGCATTAGTTTAGAAAACAGGCATGTGCTGGGAAAATTCTATTTATATCAGAATTTGAAGTGTCAGTGTTAAAAATTCATTTAATTTGAAAATGGACCAGTGAACCAATTACATCAAAACAGCATTAAAGTGCCGTGGTACTTAACAAAAAATGACAAAACAGGAAGTGACAAAAACATGCTTCGTTCTTAGACATTTTTTGAAAAAGATAACAGAGTTCTGTTTTGACCTCCAGTCAATTACAATGACTTAGCTATAATTCAGTCACATTTTCAGAGGGCTGAAAAAGTTATTTCATCATGTTTAGGGTCATTCTGACCATGTACATTGTGATCCTGGTCATGTAAATGATATGTGGAACTAGTTAAGCAGAAGAATGTAGAGCTGGCATCGAATAGGATTTTAATGTCGACATGTCGGAGCTCATGATCGACGACGATATCGACATTGTCGGGTCCAATGATATTCGAAAAATGAAAAAAAATTTGAAGAAAATCCGTCTGAATTTTAGATTTTCTAGGCTTGCAATACAATGCACAATAGTCATCCTCAGTTGTATGTATTATATTTAACTTACAGGTAAACCATGTTCAAGTATCAGACTTTGACGAAAAAGCAATAAATAGACATAAAACTACGATTTCTGTTGTTATTTCCGGGCAGCCATTGAAAATAAATCTCAAGGGTAAATCTCGAGGGGCCCCGAGACCTAATTCGAGAGCAGGAAGTCGATCAAAACAAAAAAGAAAATTTGAAAATGTAGGCGGTAAAACTTCACTAAAATACACCATACAGCAGGTAGTAACAAAGATTTTAATTCATAGGGAAATAGCTTATTATGTTGTGAGTTCCGACTGTCGATCAAGAGGCGTTGTGTCGACAAGGGTGTCGCAGAGAGCATTCGACTGACAATCGACCATTCCGACATTTGATGCCAGCTCTAGAAGAATGTTAACTTTGTTCAAAAAATTTTGAACAAAGATAACAGATGTTTTGTTATCTCCTGTACCATGGCACCTTAAACTATGGAACTCATAATTTCCTTATATGGGAAGGCAAATAATTTTGGTTTTTGAAGGCCCTTTTGAATTCCAAAATCAAGATGATGATAATGATATCTATGTACATATATGTAAATCCTTGTCTCAGATAAGTTAAGCTTCATGTTTTTTCAGAGAGATTCCCAACTTATGATCATCATTGACAGGATTTATAAAACAATACAGGATTTGCCTAGATGTAGACAATTTTTAGGTAAACTAATTGCGGTTTTATTACAGCAAATTCACATACCTTCCTTCTCAGGGAGAGGTCTCCTCACGACATATTGCCTGACATCATCTTCTTTGCTCAAGTTGAAGAGTTTGCGGATCTTGCTGGCACGCTTGGGTCCCAACCTCCTTGGTACAGTGGAGTCTGTTAGTCCAGCAATTTCTTGCTCACCTATCATAGAGCAAACAATATATAGTTACTACTAATTATTGCGTCATTACTTTTCAAGCTACCTTAACAAAATGGCAATAAGAAATCTTTCAGTTGATTGAAACTTTTTTGTGCAAATTCTTATTAACATTATAATCCTGTTGTCTCAGATAAGCTAAGCTTCAAGATTTTTCAGAGAGATTCCCAACTTATGATCATCATAGACAGGATTTGAAATAAGGTCAAACAATAGCCCACTATACTAACTACAATAAAGTACATTACTATCAAGTATAAAGGAACATGTAATTTGGGTATTATCACGTACCATTATTTGACAATGTCATACCCCTAATATCAATAAGATCCAAGGATTATTAAAACATTAATTAACTTTGAAAACTGGTAGCATACCTTTCTTTACGATGACTAAATTCAGCACACTGAGGTTAGCATCAACAATGCACCCACGTACACTTCTACGACGACGGTCACCAGTACGACGTGGTCTGAAGCAGGAGTGTCCCTTTGAGAGGAGAAGGCGGACACGGCCAGGCACAAGGACACCTTGTTTCATGGCGAATCCCTGTTTGTCGTTACCTCCGGAAATACGTACAATGTATCCCTGAAAAATGTTAATTTATATACAGTACTAAAATACTCAGGAATTTATTGACTGCTTTTTCAGCTATACATGCTCCAAATTACCAAATCATAACCAATGGTTGGACATAATTTTAGTAAGTGGTGGGACTCACACCCAGAACCCAACTTGAGTCGGATCTTTCCGGAGAACGTTGGAATCGATTTTGTTTTCAAATGCCCTAGTTACAATACAGATATCCAACAAATAATGTGTTTCATTTGTTCAAGTTTCACAGGTCTAGAAATAAAGAACTACAATACAATATGTAGTGAGAAAACAATAAATAATGAAAATCATTGTTGTTCTGTTTTGTTATTCTTACTCTTATCTTGCTAAATCTCTTGAATCTGCAGCACTACCACTTTGCAATATTCATTACACATTCGCGACCAGTAGGCACTGTCTTATCTCGTTCCAAAACTATCTCTACATTCTAGTCTTGGGGGGATCCATTCAAGCACACATTCTTTTTCAAAAGTTTATCGGCGATAGCTACGCACATATTTCTTACCTCTATCGATTCTTAACATCACAAGAAACATTCTTCTAAAGGCAGAAAAGTTGCGGCTGTCTCAAATCGCAGTAATATACACTTCAAACTTCAAATAGACCGCTTTTCCAATGAATCCAATCCATCCATGAATTTGATGACGTCACTTTGGGACTATTTTAACTTACACGACGCATAGTAAAATATAAATGAAGAAAACATTCAGCGTTGGCTGACACCGATCAGCAGAGGGAATTTCCTTGCATTTTACCTAACAACACATCAAATACATCAGCAATTTCCAGTGAAATCATTCAAATACATCGTTACTCACGATTTATCAATGCTGCTTGACTTGATTCCGTATAAATTGAGCGAACTAATTTCTCAAGTTTGAAATATAATGTTCCCGGGAAAAAAGAGATTGAAATGTAGGCACTGGATGAAATATTCATGGCAGACATTTTGAAATAAGCTGAATACTGGTCGACTCGAAGATTGAAGTGTATATTACAGCAATTTGAGACAGCTGCGTCTTTTCTGGATTGGGGAGAACATTTCTTTTGGTGTTAAGAGTCCATAGAGGTAAGAAATATATATGCGTACCTAACGCTGTTAAATTTTGACTTTTGAAAAATAATGTGTGTTTCAATGGATCCCCTCTAGTATGTATCCAACAGACTGACTAGAAGTCAGTCTGTTATGATGTACTACTTTCCTGTGGAAATTGCAGTGAAATTTTTTGCACAAAATTATCAATTAGAGGAACCATTTCTTTAAAAAAATAAACATTACAAAATGTCAATTAAATAGTAAGGTACAATTAAATGCAATATAAAGTAACACAGCATATTGCCAAGTGGAAATAAAGCTAGTTGAAGTAAAAATGTGCAAATTAATTTTACCCAATCGGCCATTTTGAATAGCACTTCCTATGTAAACAAATATTTTGAATTACCAAACTTTAACATAGGTGCCTTATAGTCTGAATATAATTCAGACTAAATAGGATATAGTCTAGAGTCCATTTCACTGCTTCAGTTCGTCAGTAGAACGGCAAAAATAAGAAATTGGGAGACTATTGTGCAATAATATATGGAAAATTATATTCATAATGTACATGAATGACATTTGTATATCTTGGATTGCTTCTAGTTTGGCTTATAAAGTGTGTGGCCTCTTATATTTGGATGTTTCTCTGCCATGTTATTTTCAATAAGATTAACATGGCTGAAATTCTTCAAATTACAAGACGGCACAGGCTTATTGCACAAAAAACTAAAAAATCTGAAATATACAAATGTCATTCGTGTACATTATGAATATACTTTTCCATATATTATTGCAAAATAGTCTCCCAATTTCTTATTTTTGCCGTTCTACTGACGCACTGAAGCAGTGAAATGGACTTTAGGATCCCCTCCAAGACCAGAAACGAAGAGGATGGTGTTGGAACAAGATAAATCAGTCAACTTCACAACTTTCCTGAATATCTTACCTTCCACTCATCTCCGAGGCTCTCGGCTGAGCATTCCTGTGCCATACGCTTTTCATAGAAGGCACGAAGCTTGAGGTCATCGTCCACCTCAATGAGCTTCTGACACCCCGTTGCGGGGTAACTGATGTTGAGCTAGAAGAAAATGCGGAATATTACATCAATGGTTCATATAGCCATTGCAAGTTTCAAAAACATGTAGCTTGACTTATTCCACTGTTACAACTTCAGACGACCATTTAAAAAGTACAATATTTTAGAGAAAATCATGTTTTTTTCATTTGGACATGTAAAATTGAATTCACTATCGGGTAAAATCTATGACCATCATACGGTTTAGGCTTGATTTTAAGACTAATTCATTGAGACTATATACTTGGGATTAATATTAGCATATTATGTTGGCCTAAGATGCATCAACTAAGGAGGAAATTGAACTTTTACCTTCATAGTTCGAGAAAATCTCTCGAAATTTTCGAAGACTTGAAAAAGAGGCTGATCCCGTGAAATTGCGCGAGAACTTATATTACGAGATTTCAAAAATATTTGTGGAAAACATCATTATTATTTGCTGTTACAACTTAATTTTAATTATTTGTTTAAATTTTCCTAACTCAGATTGATCTTTTAAGTACGAGAAACAATATGTTTAACCTCAATTGTTCTACAATATGCTAAATGGAACAGATAAATACAAGTTTATATTTTTGTCGTGCATTATCGCCCAGCAAATATTTGTAAACAAAACTGACAGTGACAACTAAGCCTAGCTGTGCTCTACAACTAAAACATTAATAGCCTGGTATGTTTATTAGATATGACTACAAAATCTGATTTGAAAATCAAGGTAAGTTAAGGTTATATTTGTTCATAAATTCGGTCAAATTACCCTCCGAATAGAATAACTTCAATAGTGTAATAGGAATGTTCAAAATGTAAAGAGATGCAATGCAACTTGCTTGATAAAACAAAACCATAATGGTAATGATCGATACATGTAGTCTAAGCTGAGAGAGATGTATTGTCGAAATTCATGTAGCCAATGTATTCACATTAAAGTCCATTTCACTGCTTCAGTGCGTCAGTAGAACGGCAAAAATAAGAAATTGGGAGACCATTGTGCAATAATATATGGAAAAGTATATTCATAATGTACATGAATGACATTTGTATATTTCAGATCTTTTAGTTTTTTGTGCAATAAGCCTGTGCCGTCTTGTAATTTGAAGAATTTCAGGCATGTTAATCTTATTGAAAATAACATGGCAGAGAAGCATCCAAATATAAGAGGCCACACACTTTCTAAGCCAAACTAGAAGCAATCCAAGATATACAAATGTCATTCATGTTCAATAGGAATATATTTTTCCATATATTATTGCAAAATGATATTTTGATTTCTTATTTTATAGCTTTTACTGACGCACTTTAACAGTGAAATGGACTTTACATGTAGCATAGTCATATAAATCTGACCCTCGTATGATGTTATCTGTTGTTATTTTTTCTGATTTGGATATTTATTTTTTCTTATTTTCTTGCATACAAGCGTATATCATCATCATCATCATCAGGTTCTGAGCTGATAGGTCTTCAAAAGTCCTGTAGATGCTCAGATCTTAGTTTAAAAGTATGTAATAGGTATTAAACTATATCATAGTGATAATTTTGCCAAAATTTGTCTAGTCTCCCTTTAAACTGATCTACACTTTGGGACGTCACTACCTTCTCTGGGAGGCTGTTCCAGTCTTCTATAACTCTATTGCTGAAGGTGTTTCGTCGAAGGGTGGTGTTACAGTGGTGTTTGTACAATTTCATGGAGTGTCCTCTAGTGGTTGTGGTGGCCTTGGTGAAAAATGAGCTGTGCTCTATAGTGTCTATTCCATTAAACATTTTATAAACCTGTATCATGTCTCCTCGTCTACGTCTGTAGTGGAGGGAATGAAGCTTTAGCTCTTTAAGCCTTGTTTGATACGGCTTATTCTTCAGATCTGGTATTAATTTGGTAGCTCTTCTCTGTATCTGTTCTATTTTACGATCTTCTCCTAAGAGTCTTGGGTGCCATATAATGTTTCCATAGTCTAATATAGGTCTTATCATAGATTTGTAAAGTGGCACTATGATCTCCTTAGTGTGACTAAAACTTCTTTTGATAATTCCTAATTTACTGTTTGCCTTCTTTGCAGTTTGACTGATATGTTGTTTGAATTTTAGTTCTTTGTCCATGGTGACTCCTAGGTCCTTCTGTTCCGTCACTGACTCTATCATGGTACCATCTAGGTTGTATTGTTGGTTTGCGTTTTTACCACCTAAGTGTAAAACTTTACAATTTTTTTGATTGAACTTTAATTGCCAATCCTTTGACCAGTTTACTAGAGTGTCAATATCTTGTTGAAGGCTCTCTCGCTGTTCGGCACTGACACATTCCCCATAGAGTTTGGTATCGTCTGCGAAAATTTTGATTGAGTTTTTTATCTTGTCTGGGGCATCATTAATATAGATTATGAATAAGGAAGGCCCGAGCACGGACCCTTGAGGTATTCCAGAAGCCACAGGCTTTGGTGGAGATGTATTATTATTAACTCTTACTGTCTGAGTCCTGTGAGTTAAGAATCCCTTTATCCAGTTCAGTAAGTTACCTCTTATACCGACAGCATCAAGTTTATTACACAACCTTGCATGAGGGACCGTAACTTGCAAAGAAGCTTGCTTTAGAGAACCAGACCAACGAATCAATCCCATGGGTGATATGCAAAGAAAATGATAAAAAATAAATATCCAAATAAGAACTAGGAATATCGAAGAACAGCATATAACGGTCGGATTTATATGACTAATGTAGCATGATTCCAATGTTGCTGTGCAGGTTTTTATTCAATTCTGGTGCTGTCTATTGGTAGCCTGACATTCCTTAACAGATCTCATTTCTGCATTTAAAGATGTTGTGATATGAATTTCAAGAAACTTTGAAGTACCCATGTTATCTTCAGATCTACACAAGGTGGCATATGTAGTGCCTTTTAACGTAACCATGAGTTTATTTCCTTAGTACTGTACGATGTATAAATGGATTTAATTTTAAGGAGATGGCAGTTTTTAAATGGTTCTTTTTGTGAAGTAATACATTGTGTAGTTTTGCCAATTTTGTAACTTGCAAAGAAGCTTGCTTTAGAGGACCAGACCAACGAATCAATCCCATGGGTGATTTCAGTTCATTTTTTCAAGTCAGAGTTTGCATATGTGACATTTTCATTTTAGAACAAAGCATACAGTATAATACATGCATTTTTTTCAAGAAACTAGAGGAAGAAAATGTCAGGCTCAAGAAAGAAGTTTTGGAAACAAGGTAATATGAAACGAAGAATGTCACCATTTTATTAAACAAGAGCAATATTAATAAAATAAATTTAATTCTATAAAAGACAAATACACAATCTTTTTAAAAATTTTCATTCTTGGATATGTAACATTCACCTATAAAACTGGAATTAGACCCTAACATAAATATTATATCCCTTTTCCATTGAGCTTCAGCTTCAGTTTCAGTCGACCTTGACTTGTAAATGTCACCTTGATTTTGCCCCAATTCCATCAGGAAACCTTATAATTGATCAAAATTAATTCATATTGAAGTCCTTACCTGACTTGTCATCTTTGAAATTTTGATTGTCATTTATCTAAGGACCTGTCTATGTGACCTTGACCTATATATATATTTGTTTTGCCAAAATTATTATGGTAGAAATATTACAAAATTATATTTGACAAAACTAAACTTGTTTAGGGGTATGTACAAACAGCTCATACAGGAAAATACAACGGAAAGTTATGATGAAAGACGTATCATGATGTTGAAGTGTCAAATCATGCAGTTGGAGCGTCAATTACTTTTGATGTCAGATGCGCTAGGTAGCAGAGCTGACACCCTTCTTGAGGTTGAACAAACTCTTCACAGCATAGCTGACATGTGCAGGTTAAGATTTTTTTTCATTTGCATATGATGAACATCTCAAATCCTTTCTTTAAGAACATGCAAATCCCAATGTACCATTGAGTTGAAAGGTGTATTTACATGTTTTGCTAAATGAAATTCATTTATTTTCTGGTACCATTGCCATAGTTTTTTTCCAGATTTTCTAAGAATTTTAAGTGAATTTTTTGAATATTCAAACATTATCGTATTCAAATGTAAAAATTAGATCTTGTTATTTTCTCTCATTGTGGAAAGTGTAATGTACTAATTTAAATGATAGGAGTTTCTTATTTGTACTTTCAGGAGGTATATCACTCTAGAGGTGTCAGGGCCTGAAGTCCCCCTCCCAAGGTCTGAGCTCACCAAAACAGTACAGGCAGCAGAGTCTGCTAGAATAAAATTATATAAAAGCATAGAGGTACATGTACTTTATTGTAGGTCTCTACATATTAGTTCTATGATAATTTGTGACTTGGCCCCTTGTCTTCAATTTACTAGATGAGTCAAAATGAAAGAAAAGATATAAGACCAGTGAGGGCAACTTGAAAATGTTAGTGTTTTAAATGTGTTTTTTAGATATTCAAATATATATGAGGTCAGACATGATATTTAAAACAAAGCATGGCTAGATTTATCAACAGAACTGTATGCATATTATAACATATATATTAAATTATTTGTTCACAATATTCAACAAAGTAACAAACAAAGTATTTGTTTTTTAGAATAACTCTGTACAGAATCTGTCCCGCCCAAGTCTGATGATGTCAGACTTTACACGTCACACTGATGAAGATCCTGTCACACTTATGGAGATATGTAGCGGGACTTTAGAGCACCTCTACCTGAAACATGTGGTAAATTGAACAAGTTTTCAATCACTTACATGCATAGGGAAGTTGAACAAGTTTACAATCACTTACATGCATAGGAAAATCCTCTGACCTGATTTTGTGGACCACCTAGAAAACTGTTTAAATGATAATGATAAGAATACATACATACAGGGTGACACAAAAAATTCCAAAATTAGTGGGTGGTATTTTTGTGTACTTTAGAGATCACACTATAGGATTGGCAAAGGTATTTGAATCATTACTTTTTGTTATTTTAGGGCAAATTAGAGAGTCGTTTGTGCTCAGTTTACAAGAAACTCTCAGGAATAAGACGATCTCTGGCCACTACTTTGTCACATGACCTGCCAACAGCCAATCAGCACATTCCAAAACCATCCGTCCGACATTTAGGTACATGTATTGCATATGCAGTAATACTGAATTCTATTTTGCATTTCTTAATTACTGTCATATTGTAATTTGTGATTCAAACACTACATAGAACATGAAACTTATCATATCTTTATTTTCTTTCTCATGGATTGTTTTATTTTAGATTACCAACTAGAAGGTGGGTGCAAGTTGCTAGAAGAGACATGCCAGGATTTATTGGCTCTCTCTGTGCTTGTCCCTAATGCTCCTCTGGTATGTATTATCTTTTTGCTCAAAAAAGTTACACATAGATATAGATACTAGGTACATGTAAGGTGTAATCATTTTCATAATCTCCCTGACCTACACCAGGTGTTAACCCTCTTCCCTTGGGCTAGGAGTACCGGTATATGTACTCGTACATCCACACCAATTTTCGTTTTGCTAGAATTTATTCATATATGTACATGTAATCAAAGACTCTTAGTGTCCATTGTATCTCATTATTCCTTGCTAATTTTATTTTACTCATTTCCAATCTTTTGCATTTGAAATATGACCAAGAAGACCACTTTATGTCAGACCTGTAAAATGTTTCTTTTCATCAGAATGCAGTGAACTCCTTACTTTATAAAACATACATGTATGTTGCAGCCTGCCCTTAGAACGTCTGTAGTTAGAGATCTCACAACTGATGCAGTCATGTCTATATTACCAAAGTTTCCACGCAATAAAGCAGCTGAAGGAAGAGAACTCATCGATGGCCTGGTGAAGGCATGCAACTATTCTGTGGCCATGGCCAAGGCAGAGGTAAGATATAGGAGAAGGATTTAGAATTACTTTTTAAATCAGTCCTATGATGAAACATTTTTCAAATGGGCAAATGAGAGGAGAATGCAAACTACTGTAGTAAATGTTTCTTTCTCTGTGTTTGATGTCATTTAACACAGTGGAATGAATCCTAAATGGGGAATGGATAATATAGTCTGTTATCTGTGGAAAAATCAGTTGGTCTTATACAGGCTCAGTGGTAGAGCACTCATCTGGAAAACGAGGGGTACTGTGTTCGATCCCCACTGGGATGAACTGAGTTTTTCACATCAGCCCTTAGTGCAGAATTTCTGTGTTTTCATTAACCTTGAAATTGTGAACATAACTTAGTCTTGCTTCAAGACCCTGGACCCCCCATCTTCTTTTCATCATGTAATGTGTTGGAGAAGTAGATAAAGGGTGGAGTCCACAGTCTTGAAGCTAGTCTAAACATAACTCAATACATCTGTATTCTGTATATACTTTCATATACTAGATCCGTGTGCTAGAGAGAGAGTTGAAGTTCCATGAGTCTGTCTATGATTCCCAAGTGGAGTATGCAATGTCTCTACTAGAAGCCATGAAGGAAGGCTATGCCAACTTTGAGCAGAGTGCTAATGAACTTATATGCAATCCATTGAAAGGTATGGTACAATACTTAAATTACAGGTGGGCAAATCAGCAGTTACGCCAAAATAATATCAGAGTATCTACATTTATTTTCATGAGGACTAGAATGATTGGAGGTGTTTGATTTTGAGCAAAACACCATATATGTCACCTTATTGGGAAAGCTGTTCTTCATCTTTGATTCTACATTTTATACGTAGTAGCCAAATGTTAACTGATAATGTATATGGTGTTCTGTGTACATAAATTTAGTATAAATTACTGATTGAACTTACAATTTCTTTCCTTCTTTATTTTAGAGGCTACTGTAGTGACTACTGAATCATACCACACATAATAACATATACTATTATGAGAACTCTGACAAATGTTCTTGTCAAATTTCACAATTGCAGGTGTGTTGAAAGACTATGAGAGATTAAAGACTCCTCCTTCCCAGGAGAGTTTGAGAGAATTCCTTACAGTCTTCACACAGCATGCAGCACAGGTAACGACATGAAAATTGCTATAGAACATGATTTCTTTACCATTCTGAAGAATCCCAATGGCCATAACAATAGGTAACCATTTCAAACAGGGTCACGGTTTTTGACATTTTTTCCTTCAACTGTTTGGACCTTGATTTACTTTATCTTACATGGAGAGTTTTTGACAAAATAAGCATTGTTGAATTATGGATGGGAACGCCTTGAACAACCCAAGATTGCATATTAATCGAGTGGACGATGTCTTATTCAGGATATTATCTACCTAGCAGGAAAAAACAAAATGAGTTAATATTAATTTGCCACCCCCCACCTCTCCACCACCAGTCCATGCATATGATGAAACTACTTTTCTGAGATATTTTATTTTCCTTTAGTTCCAGTATGCCGTAGACGTACTTGAGAACAGAGAAGGCAACAATGAGTCAGGTTTGTAATTTTATCTATTTCAAATCGAAGAGGCAGAGGTTAGGCAGAGAAGATACACTAATATCGTGTGCAACTAGATTCTTAAGTCATCTTCCCCACCCACCTAAAATAATTCATAATACAGATTCATTAAAACCAATTCTTTTTTAATAAAGACCTGGACATTGAATTTAAAGTAGCCTACTATGTTTATATGGAATGAATTAGGTTAGTTTAGAAGTGCATAAACATTTGGAAATTAAATATAATTTGTTCCCTAATTTCAATAAATGCCCATAAAATGAAAGGATCTTATTCATTTATTTAAGTTGGGACAAACTGGTTCTATTATCATGTGTTGTTTGAAATACATTACAATGCAAAGACCATATAATTATATTAATGAATCCCTTCTACAATGTCGATTCACATCTTTTAACACAACACTTTTTCAGGTGGCAAGGTGCTCTCAATATTTGCAGAGAATTTCTATAAGAAGATTGACAAAGAGAAACTGAAGTGCCAAAAAGAAAGAGACAAACTAAATGAAGAATTACAAACTGCCAAAGAATTAAAACAAGATGCTGTAGATAAATGCACTGATATGTTTAAGCTAGATTTGGATGCAAATGATGAGCATGTTGCAACTAACATATCTGCTGATGTTAATGAACTGACTGAGGATATCTACAAGACAGTATACCAAAGGTCATTCAGGAGCACTGGGGATCTCAGTGATCGATCAGCCAAGGATCAACCACTAGTCAGCCCAAGTGGGTCAAAAGGGAGAAATTCACTGGCTGATAGGCCACCATTTTCTATTCCAGCTATTTCAGCGGAAGACATAGAGGCAAGTGACCTTCAGTTAAGAAGAACACCAATCGAGAAAAAGGGTAAAAAAACTCTGAAACGAGCAAGCTCTTTGGATAACCGCCCTCCGTTTGTAGTTCCTGTTCCAGAAGAAGAACACATTGAACAGAGCAAAAGTAAAACAAGAACTAAGAAAAAACAAATGTCTTTAGATGACCGACCACCATTTTCATTAGAGACAGATGTGGTAAATGACTGCACGTGTGGGAGTTCAACCCCCACTCATGATCATGTTGCTCAACCTTGGATTAAACCTGATAGTACAATTACAACTCAAGACCATGCTGCTCAATCAAGGACTAAACCTCAGGGATTTAACATTAACCCTGAAGCAATACTTAACCCCAGTGAAACTGCCCTGGATTATACAGACCAATATAGTACCAATAAACCACCTTTTTTCCACCAGAAAAAGGCAGGGTCTACAAATCGCAGATCAGGGAGCCTGTCTAGGTTATCTCCGATTGGTCATAACACTCCTACTACTTTTACAGACAAAATCTCAGGAATAGTTTCATCTTCCCCAAACTCTAGCCCGATTCCTGATGAAACACCATTGCGAAAATCAGGGAGTTTGAATAAACTGTCGATGGGGAGGAGGTCGACATCCTCTTCTAAACCCCCTGCTGGAGTGCCAATGCAGAAATTAAGACTAACTCCAAAATCAATTAAAAAATGAATACAAAATACAAGTGTTAAGTAGCATATTCAAAAGTTATCCATGGTTAAATGTTTGTTTTGAATTCAGGTACATGTAAATCTGGATGTAATCCAACAATATTTCACATAAGTAAGTCATTCATTTTAGTTAAAAATTTAAAGGAGATACAGAACTTATTTGACACTCTGTATATTTTGATAGCTTATGATGACGTGTTTAAGCAAATGTGTATCGTCACAAGGTTAGGTTCATTTCCATATAAATGTACACTACATAAAAAGATGAAGTAAGGAGACAGAGAATCAGTCATATATAAGTAGATTCATAACTTCTTTAGTGTAATGGATAACTTAAATCAGAATTATTATCCAAATAGCTTACAAGAAATTTTTGAAAGGACAATTCTCGGTTTGGAGAACGAAGTTCATCAATCTAAATGAGCATTATCCCTGCTTCGGACAAATTTGATTTTTTTTACATAATATAGACTTGAATGTCATAATTTAATTTGGGTAATATTTCTAGATTTTTCGCAAAAAAATATTAGCGCAGTACACTGATGAACTTCTTTCCCCAAATCGAGACTTGTATTTTATTGAATCAGTCTAATTGAGCGTTATCCCTGCTTCAGACCAATTTGTTATTTTTACATCTTAAAAATTTAAATGTCCTCTTTTGAATATTCATAGTTTAATTTGGGTAATATTTCTATATTTTTCATGAAAAAAATTATTAGCCCAGGAGACTGTTCTCCAAACCGAGAATCGTCCTTTGCAAGTATATACAAACATCTGTAGAGTTATGCTGACTGTGATATCAAAAGATTGAAAAAAATGTGATATTTAATTCATTTCTTAGTATTCTATTTAAATCTGCATCTGAATTTTAGCAACATGGAGCCATGGGATCTAAAAACATGAAGACCTATTAAGTCATTTATAGTAAAACATGAGTGTAAGTTGAACACCTTTGGTAACTCTTATGTGTTCTACTTTGGAGGTGTTCACTAAGTAAAATATATCATTAAATTACATAAAACTTTTTAACTATTGGGTCATGGAACTATGAAAAGTTCATAAGTTTAATAGGTTTTACCATAGGCAAAGGTCGATAGAAATAATTTTTAAATAAAGATGGCATGGTAATTGATCTGTGTTTATTTATAAATAACAGAGGGGGAGAAACACCAGGGTTCAAAGATGGCATACGCTTATAATGTAAATCTGTATTGAGATGACATTGTCGCTGATTGGTCAAAAGTCTACAAACAAATGACGTCATCAATGGCGGTTTCAAAATTTTCGAAATACACTTGGAATAATATTATGTTTATTTCTGTCGTGTTAACCAATATCATAGCTTCTCATTCACCCTGGACGAAGTGATAAGGTCAAAACAAGTGGCTCTGATTTAGGAAAAAACGATCTTCCTAAAAATTAATAATTTTTGTACCCCAATTTTTGTAAGGTTAAATTCTTGTGGACAAAGAGGAGAATCATATACAATTTTGTATTATGTTCAAGTGGTACATCTTAAAGGGTTCCGATAAGCTTCCCGTATAAAAACAATATGGCGACTCCTGGATCAGTCCATTTTTAAGAAATAAGGGGAGTTCTGTAAAATCCAGTTTATTGAAATTGTCTTTGAGATAAAGTAATCCGTTTATAATGATTTTGAAAACGTTATCCATATAGTGATTGCGTTCAAAGAATATGTACAACAGCCAATATAAATCCTTGTATTAGAACTGCTTTGTTTCATTTGTAGGATATTTCATATGCCAAGCTGTGTGCTATTACGTTATGGGGAAATTTAGATGTCAATTTTTCCTTATTATACACAAATAGACGATCCTAAAACTTCACCCATAAATGTGGAATTGATTTGTCAAAATAAAAATCACACTTTTATAAATGTGTGACGATCTATAATATACTTATGCTATATAACAGTTAGAGGTGTTGACACAACGACCTCCAGCCTGTGAACCCTTGAGTATTATTCCGGGATCGGGCCTTTTATACTAAACGGTGAGCAACACCAGAAACGAGCGTTCGATTTGCTAAACGATATGCGTCACCCTTTAAACTACTCAGTTCGTGTGTTTTAAATTGAATGGAACGCGCATTAGTGGCTGGAGTGTAAATTAAAGTTGAGAATTATATCTCCCGCTAAAAATTACGATTTTATATTGTCAAAATATCTTTCATTGATGATCAATGATGCATATAAACGTTCATGCACACCAAGATTGTATGTTTCTTTTCATATGTGCATTTACAGCATCGACAGTTATTTCAATTTGATGTGATGCCTATTGTTTTACTCCCGACGACGAACATTTGAGGAAAATAAGCGGTTATTGATTTGCGATGGTGATTTGTGATAAAACGCGGCTTTCTATACCTGATTTAGTTTCATTAATTTAACGTTTTCCAGTCATGTCCTATGACAATCGCCGTTACGAAGCGTCGAAAATCTCTTTATATTACATCAAGTCATGTGGAAGTGGCCGTACGATGAAATAAGAGTCTAAGATACATGCAGCTTGTTAGACGTACGATGCCCGTTGTCAACGCAAAGTCCAAAGATCTGGATGTCAAAACAACCCCTTTATTTACACTGCCATTGCACATGAATGGGAATTATGTTTATGTCCACTATTTTAGTAAATCGTCTTGGACATTTACTATAGAACAAATCATTTGCCTTACTGTATCTTTTGTTTAGCCTGAGAAGCAGTCACAGTGATTGTTTAGATTTTTGATTCAATCTCATTAATTTTGATGAAGCCCTCTTTTAAGCAGTTTAGTCGAATGAATGCAAAGGAATAATATAACGTATTTGTTAAAGTTCCACTTTTTTAAAAAATAACAATAGTATTAATAAAGTTTTCAAAAATAAACTTTATTCTATCATCTATATCTGTGTAAAGAACTATACAATTAAGAAAACAAATAACTACAGTACAGTGTTGATATTTGCACTTTTGTGTTGATAATTACCTATAATATTAATGTAATTACCTTTAATAATCATATAATTACCTATAATAATTATTCCAAAATATGATTAAAATTGTTACTCAAATAGTTATGACTAACAGTTATTATAAAAATAAGGTCAGGTATGCATTAGGTATGCATTACAAAATTGTATGACCAGAATCATGACAAAGTATATACAGGGTGACCCAAAAAAATGCAACCCTCCATTTCTTCAATATTTTTCTTAAATGGAGATAAATTGCTCTGAGATTTGGCACACAAGGACTTCATTCAATGTGGGATCCTCTGGCAAAGTTTTAATAATCATATTCTTATATTGATAGATCTCGTAATTTTGCTGAAAACAAACTTGCAATGTTCAAGGAAAACTGTTCATAACACGGATGCATTCTTCCCCATGGGCATGGCTCAAATGTTTGCAGCCATTGCTTATTGGAGTTCTGCAGTTGCGGTAGGGTTATTTTCATACACATTATCCTTTAAATAACCCCATATGTAGAAGTCAGGGGCATTGAGATCAAGACTGTGGGATGACCATGGGTTCTCCGTCCTAGGAGAGATCATCTTTTCATAGAAATGACAAGTGAGCCAGGCTATGCTATCATTAGAAGTGTGAGGAGTAGCTCAATACTTCTAGAACCACTGTTCTTGTCTATTGAAGCCTGTATGTCATTCTAGAACTGCCTAGAACTTCCTGGGAACGCAAATATTGCGCTGTGTGTTAACAGTTACAGTGTTGGCATTATCAACCTCAAACCAAAAGGGGCTGATGATTTCATGTTTGGAAATTGGTAGCCCAAGCTGTGCATTTAACAGAATGAAGGGGCCTTTGAAGCACTTCATCTGGAATTTGTGATCCCAGAACACATTTCTTGAGTTTACATGTTCAGAAAGAAGGGAATGTGATTCATCTGAAAACGTAAATTGGAAATGGACGACATTTGGAGCATATTTTGGAACGACCATAGCTCTATCAATATAAGACTATGATTATTGAAACTTTGCCAGGGGATCCCACATTGAATGAAGTCCTTGTGTGCCAAATTCCAGAGCAATTAACCTCCATTTAAGAAAAATATTGAAGAAATGGAGGGTTGCATTTTTTTTGGGTCACCCTATATAAGAATACCCTTTTCTTAAATTGCAATTTATGAATTATCAAAAATATATTTCACTTCATCAATCATCACTTGTATAAATCTAGATTTTCTTCATCCTAGTATAAATTAATAAAAACAGAGGTAACAAAATAATTTGCTATCTATGACATGTCAAACATGTAGAGCTATCTAGTATATATTTCATATACAGTGTCCCAAACAAACATAATATAAGTATTTCACATTTTAAAACTCATCTTTAAAATCATTTTAACATGTAGCCTAGTGGCTCAACAATGTTTTGGTCACAAGGCTTGCAATTAGTAAATTAAATAACTCTGAAGCATGCTTACTAAAGACATTAAATTACCTCATTAAACAATATGTAGTATTATGCTTATAAAAATGTACTTGCATTTTTTAATTATTTATAATACACAATGATTTAGTTTTGCAATATTTTAATTTATTCTATAAATATTTTTCAAGCAACTGAATATTGTTTTCATAATTAAGACTTTGACTAACTAATATGTGTGGTTTTAGTCAATGACGTCATAATTATGAGAAAAATATTCAGTTGCTTGAAAAATATTGATAGAATAAATTTTGAATATTGCAAAACTAAATCATGTTGTTATTAAAACAACTTCTTTATAGGAAATACAAATAATATAATGAAAACTTAATAGCTATGCCTTTTATAAATATCACTAAGAATTGTACTACTGTAGTGTTGCATATCATTTGCATTCAATCTGTTCCTAAGAGCAATCTAGTACATATGCACACTGCACAGAGTGATACAATCATTTTGCCCTCTAATTTTGAAAATATTTGAATTTTTCAATCATAATTAAATGTTCTTAAATTATCTTATTAATTTCTAATACAACAAGAATACAGTTAAACTATTTTTTTTCAAAATCTGGCTTTGTCAATATTAACCTAATAAGCAAGTCAACTCAAAAATGTAATGACACATTTATAATACTAACATTAATAATTTTTCTGATTTTCATTTCATTTTCAGGATGTTTTAAAATCAAGTGTTGTATTATTGCATTAAATTGTTTTGTTTTCCCGTCACAATGGTAGCATTGGAAGCCTACACACCTGAAAGTAAACAAGTGATTAATTATAGACATCCATTCCACGTATTTTCCATATATTCTGTGGGAATCAGAGCCGCGTTTTTTCCAGAAAATAAATCTAATCTCGTCTCAGGGACGTAAATTACTTCTTGTATTAGAAAAATAATGGTGATATGACATTCCCTGGTTCATAAACTATTATATCGCCAAATATCAATGCATTTCACGGTGACCAAGAGTTAACAGTGCAAATCGGCCCGGTCGTGTTTTTTTAAACTCTTTAGTCGTGTTTTGTAAGAATATGGGATGCGACATTCGATAGAATGGAGCAAAATGGTAAGAATATTCTATATTTTACAAACTTACATATCTTGACTTCTACCTAAGATGTTCTTCTTCATACCCACGAATCTATTTTGGGGTTAAATCCATCATTCTTCATATCAATCGCAATTATATACCAAAAGTGCCAGAAATATGTACTTAATTTGCATTTAGTGTTATTTAATCAAGTTTAAACAGACAATCCATTCAACAACGTGGAATAATATTCACTACTCTAAAGATCATGTAAATATTTTAACTGTATTTATCTTAAAATTGCCATAAATGACCGTAAATGTAGAAAGTGGAGTTAACTATGGAGAAGGGACAATATAACGTCATGGACGTGTCTTATAATAAGCATGTTAACGTTTTGGAATTGTAAAGATAACGTTTTAGACGTGATAAAATTAATGACTTTGAATTGTCTTGTAATATTGTTCACATTGACCATGTTTTGTTGCTTGATAATTTGTCTGTGCTTCTGAAAATAATCGTATTAGTACTTTGAAGATAAGTGTTTGTACTACATGACTATTCACATATTTTGTAATTTCAGTTCCTCGGAATAAGTGCAACGCATGCTCTTTCAAAAGTGCTCATAAGAACACTTTCCTTGAACATTATGAGAAGGTTCATCCGACTGATCTGTTCAGAATTGACATCCCTATCCACGATCTAGTACTAGAATAAATTGAAAAACTAAATTCTTACTATCTCGTATTTCTGCTAGAAGTTAAAACTCAAAAAGTATCTTCTTATTCAATAATATAATTTATAGTTTATGTTGGTTTTATAATAATTTGCGGGCCTAGTGCGACACACACTATTAACCAGAAACAAATAGTATGCATTATTACACAAGCAGATCCCCACCATCTGTTCATGTATTAGTATAAAACACGGGAATATACATTATGTGTCACCCGTTTATTGTAATTTGTAGTCAAGATATGAATAAATAAGAATAAATAAAAAAGACAGATATATGATTTAACAAGATCAACAGATGTTGTAATTTAATTCGCTAGAAAACTATGTTACAGTACAGTTCATAGATCACTCATAGAACGATAGCAGCATATGTAGCGTTTTTTACCTATTGCAATTTGGAAATTAAAATTGAAATTGTATAGCATTGTGTGAGGCGAATTAGGGAATAACATCGAATCAAATTGTTAAAAATCCTGAGGCAAACCTAATAGATATTTAGCATACGATTTTAATAACGGTGGAGTTATTCCTTACATTAGGTGATCATATATATGCATTTACATGTAGTGCATCACAAACTAAACATTTCCTCTCATTTTAAATAAATTTATTTACGTTCATGACAGGGAAAAGTGAGTTTAAGGCCAATAGGGACGTTTTAAAACGTATTTGAGGCAAATTCAAAAATAGCAACGAGCCATTTAATGAGCGACAGGGCAATTAAAAAATAATATGACTGGTAAAATTTTCAAAATGACGAGCGACGAGGCAAAGCTCGCTTGCATTAACCATGCGTGTCTGATTCTAACCATTTTGATTTAAGTATCAAATTCGGTAGTGATCCCATAGATCAATCTTGACATATTATGTCGTACATTTGATTATTGTTAATCATTTATAATTAAGATATAGTGTCACTCAGACAACAACTTCTTCCACATTGTGATCATTTTTTGGGAAATACATAATGTTAATTGTGCTGTTTCCCACTTCCAAATCGTTAAACCTCAATGTCTCTACACGTCTAGAACGTTTCACTAACAGGTCAACGTCATTAACCGCAATCTTTTCAACACGTCTAAAGAGTTTAATCTAAAAAATACTATTCGGTCAATTGCTACTTATTTAAGCTCTTCTAACTTTTGATTTTCGCACATATTGTGAATGCTTTCCTTATGAATCGATGTATTCATTGAATACAAGTCAGGCAAGAGATTTTCAGGCAAAAATATGTATAACACTGACAGAATTGCTCATTTCCCGATATAACAAGACTATAGCATACGATTCGTGCAAATAACACGTTTACGAATACCTGAAGTTAAGATATATAGTATGGAAAGCAATATAAATTACTTACTTTTACATAAAGTCAAGTGACAGCAATTTCATGACCAAATTTATCAACCTACCTCTCAAATTTTCAAAAAAACACGACTAAAGAGTTTAAAAAAACACGACCGGGCCGATTTGCACTGTTAACTCTTGGTCACCGTGCATTTGAAACAGAGTATCTACCATTTTTTTCAAAAATAATCAAAAAAAAATATTGCAGTTATTTACAAAAATATATTATTTCAATTCGTATTCATTTCGTTTCTTAGTATTAATCGTTACAATATTATATATAGAGAGGTGGATATGTCTTGGATCAATGTACCGAGTTTGAACATGTCAGGTGGCCAAGAAAGGGTATAATTTAAAGAAATAAACTCACCCCTGCTCTGCCATGTTTATTTTTAGGAAGATCGTTTTTTCCTAAATCAGAGCCACTTGTTTTGACCTTATCACTTCGTCCAGGGTGTCATTTCACATCAAGATAAAGAAAGGTGTACGGAATATGCCTATGTCAATTAAAACATCCCATCGAAGTGTAATATTTGAAAACTAGCCGATGAAAATTCGAACGAACGAAGGTGGTAAGCAAGAGAGGTAATTATGTCTGTCTCCTCTCATAAATAAAGATAACACTGGATTCTGTTGGTGCTGCCATCTTTACATCGGCCCAGAACTTATGGGTTTTACTGTATATGTACTTTGTAAATACAAATTATTTCAGGAAATTTGAGATTACGATAGACCTTTCCAAAAAACTCTGCTACCTTTTGGTATATCAAAGAAGCTATGGTTGTAAGTAGCATTCTGTCAAAGCAAAAATAGAATTAGCTGATTGTTAATTTTGAAAAAGCTGGATGACTCTTACTGCAGTTAGCTTCATTCAAGATGGTTGCCAAGGTTCTTTCATTTTCAATAAACCTCAGATTTCAGCTAAATTAAGCTGTTGAATCTGGATTCCAAATGTTTCGCCATGCAAATTAATAAAGCTACGATGGTAAATAACCACAAGTTAATGCTCAAACAACCACAATATTGGAGAATTTTAAAGAAAATGGCTTCTCACTAAATTCTAAGTGAAGCCATTTTCAGGGTCAACTGCAATTGTTTCATCTTTCCTTAGTGAAGTAAAGAATTTGGTCAGCATTCACCTATTTTTCCATTTTCAACATGAGAAACAGGTCTTATTCAATAACAGGATGTAACTAGGTTTTTGGCTTTTCGGTATTACTGTATTTATTCATACATCATTTTGACAATGTCATACATGTATTTAATCAAGTTTCACATCCAAGTGCTTCTAGTTATATTACAGTATATACTTCTAGTCTGTGAATAACACATTTACGGTTCAAACTCTAATCTGTATGAGATATTAATCTATTTTAGATTTATATTGATATTCATTTGCATATTGCTAATACAATTACATGTAATTGCATATTACATGATGATACATACTTTTAAAACGAACATATTTGGTGTATCAAAGAAAACTTCAACAAGAATCATGTTTGTCCATACAAAAATACAATACTATTCTAAACACATACAAACTTTCAAATGGTATATCATTCAGTTTAAAAACAGACATAATTTTGTTCATTATTTTCATTGTATTATAAATAAGTAAGTACAAAACTAGGCAAAATTACATAATTAACACCTTTATCATTTGGTTGCATTTACACAAACTATGATAGATATATTGTGTAGACTTTCACTGACTGTGGTAATCTAAATGTGATATCTGGAATATATCCCCTACCCAACCTGCTACATGTCACAGTGGAGAAATTATTGTTTACATCACCTCCCTGAAAACAATACATTTTTAATTTTTGTACCTCAATGTATATTCGGAATGAGCCAGGTTCTGACATTTCTGAAATTCTCCTTATTTTCTGTTTCTTCAGATCTCAATATAGCAAACCAAAGAATGTGATCCTCATTTGAATAGAAATACTTTTTATCTCCTCCGAAAGTTGACGTCATGTCCCACTGTATTCTACATGTCTCATATCTCTCACATGTCCCGCTTCATTCTCCGCATATGCCACCTTATTCTCGATATGGCCCACCCATTTTCTATGTATGGCACCTCACTCTAAACATGTCCCACATTATTTTTGATGTCCCACCCCATTCATATGGCACTTCATTCCCTTAATGTTATACCTTAGTCTTTACATGCCCCCCCCCCATTCTCCAAATATGCTATTTCATTCTGCTTTTCAACAATTCTTAATTCCAAGACAATTCGTCCAGTTTTGTTCTACAGAATGTGTAACACACTTGTAGTCCATGCTGTCTTACATGATCAATTGAACACACTGTTCCTTGTACAGATAGATCTCCTAATCAGCTAGTATGCAGCTAGCTATACAGTGTTCACTTGTATATACTGAAGCGCTTATAGTGTAAGTTATAAATATATGTCTACTTGTACAGTTTATGTCAAAATAGTCATGCTAACATAGCATTTAGGAAAAAATAGTAAAGTAAATTTGAACATTTAAATTTCAGTCTCCCAATTACAGAAAAATGTGAGTAAATCATACATTTCACTCATATTGTGTTTTCAATGAAGTCAAAGTTGTGAAAGGTGACTGCAAGACTAGAGAGACATTATCTGTACACATGTATTACTACTGTGGCAGTGGCGGCTCTGTCTTCATGACACGACACACCCAACTTCCGATGTCGACTTCCTCATTCTCAGACTTCTTGATAAAGTCATGGCTCTGAAAATAGCAAATAGATATTAAGAACCATTACATAAATATGACAATATATAGACAAAGTCAAGTCACAATTACACAAGTGTAACATTTTCTTGTAAATGCTAAATGCCATTCATAAAATAGTGGCCTTAACATTGTGTCAACACTTTTTAAGTGGTGACATAATATCTGACATGTTAACTGTCTATTTAAACAAAAATATCTTTAAAACCACTTGATAACTCACAATTAGATTGAAATGTTTTAATTTCCCTTATTAATCATGGAAGCAAGCTAAAGTGAACTTAAAATGTAAAAATTATAATTATAACACTACCAGTGGACAATGACACACTTTTTACTAACAGTATACAATTGAAAACCTCTCCAGAGGTCAACAGTCAAAATTGTACACCGAGACTGTAAACCGAGAAACTACTGTTGACAGAGACTGAAGGTCGAGGTCAACAGTAGTTTCAAGGTTTACAGTCGAGGTATATGATTTTGACGTTTGACTGTATGGAGAGGTCTACAATTGTTTTGTTAGTCAGAAGAAACTAATAATACACATATAGGCGACAGTCATCAATCATGGCTTCATTTCACAATCTTTACTCCGAACCACGCCAGCAATAATTTTTTAAGAAAATCAGAAGACAATGGTAGCTAAACGCTCTGTTTTCGGCACATCACTGTGTACTCACTAGTAAATTAATGTTAATTTTACATTTCTATTTGTTAGTACCTCAACTGGAATACTCGATTCTGATTGGTTGATTAGCGGTGAACAATATGCACTGTTGACCGCTACTATATACTGTTGACCGCTACTTTTGAAAAAATAAGTTTTATGACGTCATAATATTGAACACGCTAATGAAAAAGATATTTTTAGTTTACTAGACGACAAGTATAGCAAAAATGCAAATAGAAACGTAAAATCAACATTAATTTACTAATGATTGCGCCTTGATGTGCCGAATATAGAGAGTTTAGCTACCACTGACCACTGTCTTCAGATTTTCTTCAAAAATATTGCTGACGTGGTTCGGAGAAAAGATTATGAAATGAAGCCATGCCGACTGATGATTGTCGTCTATATGTGTATTATTAGTTTCTTCGGACTAACAAAACAATTGTAGACCTCTCCATTCGGTCAACCGTCAAAATCATATACCTCGACTGTAAACCTTGAAACTACTGTTGACCTCGACCTTCGGTATCTGTCAACATGACCTCTGGAGACCGCTACTAGGTACTGTTGACCGCTACTTTTGAAAATAAGTTTCATGACGTCATAATTACAGAAAAGCATGGTAGACCGACATTTTGTAAACGTTGATGAAAGTGATATTTTAAATAGAAACGAAAAATTAACATTAATTTACTAATGAGTACGCATTGCTGGCGTGGTTCGGAGAAAAGATTGTGAAATGAAGCCATGCCGATTGATGATTGTCGTCTATATGTGTATTATTAGTTTCTTCGGACTAACAAAACAATTGTAGACCTCTCCATTCGGTCAACCGTCAAAATCATATACCTCGACTGTAAACCTTGAAACTACTGTTGACCTTGACCTTCGGTCTCTGTCAACAGTAGTTTCTCGGTTTACAGTCTCGGTATACAATTTTCCCTGTTGACCTCTGGAGAGGTCAACAATTGTATATTGTATTTTTGCTGTACTTGTCGTCTAGAAAAATCAAAATATCATTTCATCAATGTTTTCAAAATGTCCATCTCCCATGTTTTTTTCTGTAAACATTATGACGTCATATTCCGCATAATTCACAAGTGTAGTACAGTAACACACGCGGTCAATAATATGATATCCCATAATGCACAGGTGGGGTACAGGCAAAAATGTTGACCGCTTATTGACCAATCAGATGCGAGTGTTTACACTGAGGTACTAACAATAAAATATGTTAACTTGAAAGATTTTTTTGCTAATGTATTACCAAAATATATGTGGCGAGTTTGAAGAAGGTCTGTATTGGTCAATAGCTTATTGATATTTATGACTTTTAAATCATACCATCTATTTCAGAAAGATACATATGTTGTACTGGAGTTAAAAAATATGAGAAACTGGAATTATTTGATAGTTTTACCATTAGTGTATGTAAGTCTGCCCTCTTATCCGGGTCTTTAATTAAGCTGAAAACAGAAATATATTTGTGTTAATAAGTGAATGCATTTAATCATACCTCAAAACATTTAGTATGAAACATATTGCAACAGCTTAATAGTGCAGTATACAACTGTACAAATACATTCCAAAATCATAAATTTTTCACTTAACTGAAACTGAATAAAACAGTATTATTTCCAGATTTAGATAAAGTTATCACTCTGCATGCATTCTAATAATATCGATAATATAATTATTCATTTTCAAATCATTTGAGTTATTTCTGTTACATCTTATATTTACCAAAAAAGTATAATTTCCATTCGGCCTGATGGCTAGAATGATCACAATTTTTTTAAGAGAATCTGAATTGTGCCATTTTTTTAAATAATTAAAATGTGTCTTCCCATTGAATGTAAAGATTTTTTCAAGAAATAACTAGACGGTCAATTTTTCTAATTTTCATATATTTTGTTATATATCCGAATATCTTTCACCTGGATTTTTTCAAGAATATCTCAATTGTAGAAAAAATTGGTCGACATTGAAGTTCTACCTTAAGTTTTGGTCTTGCTTCAAGACTCTGGACCCCCCCCTATCTACTTCAAAAGTTTGGTGGGGGGGGGGGGCAAAAGGGCTTGTAGCTAGACTAGTTTTGTTTTTATAGAGAGAAATGGGGTCAGTTGCACTCACCATTCATTGACAAATTCATTAAACTCTTTGGAGAAGCAACCCTTTGGCAAGGAGGGCGGTGGCTGTAATACAAATCAGATGACATTTATTCTTGGAATAGCTGAAATTTTATAAAAATGTGCAATATCCCAAAACAAGGCTCATATTAAATAATAGGTGTTGGATTGGTAAACTGTTGGATTAACCATGTGTTTACTGATCTTCAAACTTGTTTAGATTGTTTAAATTGTTCCTAATTGAAATTAATCTCCCTTTAATGAATAGGATTTTTGATTTTGGTAGATTCTGGGATCTTACTCATTTCCTGAATTTCCAAGATTAATCCAAGAGAAGGAGATTCCCAGGATTCATATTTGAACTCTATGATCTATGATTTCTGGGTATTACCCCCTCTTGATTAATCTCAGGATGCATCATTGCTATAGAAACTGATATATCATATTCTAAACACCAGAAAAATGCATGTAACCATGCCCATTATTCTTTCAAACAAATGCAGGAAAATGTAAACTTTTAATGAAATATTTTGATTTAATACAATACTTCACAGTCATCATAAGACAGTTTGTTTATCGGAAACTTTGTGAATTGAAAGTCTACTGAGAATAATACTACCATTTATAAAATCTGATCCATTGCTAAAACGACACAAAAACAAAATGAGGCAAATATGAGTTGAAGTTAAATGAATATGTCGATAATTAAGCACGTGAATTCTAGCTCTAAGAACAGAAGCAAACAATAAATATGCTGATGTCATATTGATCTCTGGAATATGTCACTGCCATCACATACATGTAGTTGATGTCATATATCTTATCATATAAACATCATATTTGAGGTATGTTATGTTTTTTTTATTGATTGTTACATTTCTAATTCTCTTCATCCAAGACTTTTTTCTCCTTTGTTCTTGCTAAATACCATCAGGTTATATGAGAAACAACGATTGGATTAAAGTCAAAACCAAAAGTTGTCAGTAACTTATAATAAACATGCTCTTAATAATCTTAATATTATTTTATTTCATTAGTTTGCCAAGCATTGTGCAAAAGAACTAAAGGGAATCAGTTCAACAAAAACATTTCAAATAAAATCAAAAATTATAAAATGAAAAAACTGATTTTGCTCATCAAATGGAATCAACAAATAAGAGAAAGAAAGAAACATCATACTCTAGTGAACGAGGAGATAGAACTATCACAATACAAGTGGTAACCACAAGACTTGAAGAAGACTTTAAGACGGGCAAACAAGTGTAATGTACAGATAGCGATGTTAAAAAACAAATCAAAGGTCCTACAAATATTTTTGATAAACTCATTAATTCAAAACACAATAGATAAAAACAAGTATATTCTACCAGCTACATCAAGGTAAAAGATTCAATACACATTATACACAGTAGTCAAAACATTAAAAGTAAGACTCAATGTGACTATTCTATTTAATGCACAGCGTATAGGATAGATGATTCTTATGACGTATAGATTAGACAAAACCTGAGATTAAATGTGCTACTGCATGGTGAGATTGGGTTTTACATAATGATTTTGACTCTGGGGTTTTGTAAGTGCAATGGGGGTAAGCTGACTTAACATAAGAGCGTTCAATAATCTGATCTTATGCTCAGTTGACACCCTCCCCATAGCACTCTTCAAATGAAAATATTCACATAGAATAAACCTTTTAGGATTGAATTTTATGAACTCTTCATAACATACCTCGTTGACAATGTAATCTAAAAGCTCAAATATTGCCATTGGTCTTGGGCCATCCGTCACTGGCATAAAGAAGCTTGCCGGCCGGTTGCCTGGATACAAGACAAAGGTAAAAGAAAGCATTTCATTCCAGCAACGAAAACACAAAAACAAAATAACTCATAATTATCAAAACAAAATCAAAAGCATCAATAATAACAATGAACATGTGATAGTCTGATTTGAGGAGAATACCCGCAACATTGACTTCAATCTTCTGTCTGTTAAAATTAAGTTAAAATGTACGACATGTATTTTCAAAAACATTCATATCTGAATTTGAATGGATAAAATTAATACATTTGGATAGTTATTTTGGATATAATGCAGCATGTATTTTGGAATACCTTTATTTTGCATTTTACCGTGGAAAAGTCTATAACATACTAGTATAATATTCAGAGAGATCTTCACCAATGGATAGACTTGGAATGCAGGATGCAATGTTAAATATATATGTTGGTGTGATTATAAGAAACTCTCAAATTGTACAGAAATGTGCTAAATCAGTAACATCCTTAGATAAATAGAGGACCATCCATGATAATAATAGCGATAGACTTCATGTGTGTACAACAATTAGAATACTGAGGGTTCTCCCTTAAATATGGTTCATGCACCATTCAAGATGTCAAAACATGCCATGATTGTTCCATTTGCACAATATTAACTGTTTTATCAATGAAGAAAACTGCTAAACTCAAACCTGTCAATATACAAAATGTATATATTCATTATCCAGTAGTACATGTGGAACATTAGAATGGCATCCTCTGATATGAAGCATGTATTCAAATCAGCCAAATCACACATTCAGTCATATATAAGTAAATATAAAGCAAGACAATCTGCAAATCCAAGTGAAAAGTTAAGAATATGAAATAGTATGGTATTTATGCAGATTAAATTGCTTTGAGGCATGGTACATTTGAGTGAGATTGCACATATGAAATATATATGGGCAAGGATTGTGTTATTCTGAATGTAAATATCATTTGATGTTATACCAAAATCTCACAATTTGATGAAATGCTCCTGATTTTTCTGGGTATCATATGAAAAATTAAAGAATTGTCACAAAAAATATCTTTTATTCCTGTGATTTCATGACCGTATACTACATGAAAAAACACAAGCAAAACAAGCTTGGAACTCATGCATGCTTTCTGAAGCTTTCACACATGAAGCCAAAGAAACAACAATTAATTGGAGAAGTCAGTTGATTAAGAAACATTTTTCATTGAGACAGAAGTAGGAACTGGGCCCAATGTTGTAAACTACAAACATGGTCCCCATTCAATGAACATGAGCATTTGTTTAGGTGAATGGCTTAACAAAGATCACCATGAAAGCCAGAAAACCTTGTTTGTATGACTGTAACATACTATTTCCCTAAACTAACTAGAAAAACAGCAACTCCACGGAGTAGCAAATCCCACTGCACAAAACATGTTTTGATTAACAGTGGCCATCTGAGGTGGGCCATCTTGAAAATGTCTTCTTGAACAGAGCTCCTTTGTCCCTGGGTATCAGTATATAAAATTTGAACCAAATCCATCCACTGATATTTGAGTTATTAAAGATTATGTTTTTTACAAAACATGGTGGCCATTTAGAAATTCAACTGCCACGTTGAAAATCCCTTCTGGAGCACAGCTCCTATGTCTCTGGGTATAGCATACCAAAACCAAATCCATCCCTTGGTATTTGAGTTATCAAGAATTATAATTTTTCCGAAAAAATGACGACCATTTCAACATTCAGCAGGCATCTTGAAAATGTCTTCTTGAACAAGGTTTCTTTGTCCGTAGGCAAAAGCATATAAAGTAACGTTTCAACCAAATTGGTCAACTAGTATTTGAGTTATCAAAGATTGTATTTTTTACGAAATGGCTGTCATTTTGAATTGAGTCCCCATTAGGCATAAACCTATAAAATTTAAAAATCCATCAAATCCATCAACCGGTATTTGAGTTGTTGCCTGGACAGACGGACAAACGGAAGGATGGACGGATTACCTATATCCCCCTCAAACTTTGTTCGGTGGGATAACCATAAGTGCTTTATAAGCATATTATGTGATATCTCACTATGTAATGTACCACACCTCCCAAACATGGAAATGATTTGTTCCTATACAAAGCCATCAACTTATTCAAGTCACTTTTATCTCTACCAGATGAAATGTCATTGATTATTTTTGAACCAATCATATTTCAGCAAACAAGAACTACAAAATGCCATTCGTTTGTCTACTTTAGGCCCAAAATATTTTTCAGAAAAACTTTTTTCTCCATATTGTACTGTTGTACATGTACATGTATGTAAAATCAAACTGCACTTATTTGTGTAGTACAACAAAAGTTCAATTCCAAAACACCTAGTTGATGTACCTTTGTAAAGGAGACAAAGCAAACAATGAACAATTGAACATATGATATAACAATTGAAAGCTCATCTGATGATGTTACCTCATTTACTATATACTCTAAAAGTTCAAAAATTGCCATTGGTAGCGGTCCATCACCAGTTATAACTTCAAAACCTCCAGGACACCCTAGACAGTTTTCAGAAATATTGATTTAAAAATCACATATAAATATTTCCAAAATCATTTTACAGTAGATTTATAAAAATTCAAGTTTCTAAAATAAGTGAATACATGTATATCTGCCCTTTAGTACTCTCTTCTACAGAATTTTTTAAGGAAAACAAATGATCTCAATTCAGTTTCTATGTCTTAGCCAAGAAGAGGAGAAATACCCCATAATTCATAGTTGAACCTATCGCTATGTAACGATGAACCTTTAGAGATTCATTTTATATGGAGATGCGTTCATGGATGAATTCTGGGGTATTCCTCACTCTTTATGGAAGCCTGAAGTTAAGAGACTAAAGTATGATCTTAAGTTAGTACAATTACTTGATTCTGATATTTTCTAGTATTTACCTGGTAAAGGCTTCCCTGACTGAGCGGCTTTTTTATGTTCCTGAATAGCATCTTCTCCAAATACAGCCGCAAGGTCTTTGGGGTCAGGAGGGGGGATGGGGAAACGGCCAATCGCTAGTTCAACCAATGAGAGACCCAAACTCCAGATATCTGATTGAACTGTATAGCTGGCTCCTTGTAATCTCTCTGGCTAAAAATACAGTTTACCAGTTAGTCAACACATAAATACACTTAATCTACCTCTTGGCTCCTAAGGACATAAAAGATCTTGTTCCTACGAATGAACTGGACATAGAGTCTATACTTAAAGACAAAAAAAGATCTTGTTCCTTTGAATGAATTGGCCAAAGAGTCTATACTTATGCCTGGGTCACATTTTCTCCGATCCATTGGTTGGGGCCCTGCCGATTGAGTGTTTTGCTCAATATTGTATTCAATTTTGAACAAAATACTCAATCGGCCAGGCGCCAAAAATCGGAGCAAATGTGACCAAGGCCTAACAGACATATAAGATCTTGTTCCTATGAATGAATTGGCCAAAGAGTCTTTACTTAAAGACAAAAAAGATCTTGTTCCTATGAATGAATTGGCCAAAGAGTCTATACTTATGCCTGGGTCACATTTTCTCCGATCCATTGGCCGGGGCCCTGCCGATTGAGTGCTTTGCTCAATATTGTATTCAATTTTGAACAAAATACTCAATCGGCCAGGCGCCGTAGTAAAAATCGGAGCAAATGTGACCAAGGCCTAACAGAATATAAGATCTTGTTCCTATGAATGAATTGCCCATAGAGTCTTTACTTAAAGACAAAAAAGATCTTGTTCCTATGAATGAATTGGCCAAAGAGCCTATACTTACAGACATATAAGATCTTGTTCCTATGAATGAATTGGCCAAAGAGCCTATACTTACAGACATATAAGATCTTGTTCCTACAAATGAATTGGCCATAGAGTCTATTAGTTGTCCACTAACACCAAAGTCACAGATCTTGATTTCACCCCTTGAGTTGACAAGAATATTTGAAGGTTTCACATCTCTATGCATAATTTCATGGTTCTCCCTCAGGTAGATTAAACCTTTCAACACCTGTGCAAGAAAAAGCAGAATTGTGATCAAAAGTGATAATTTCTTTCAACTTCACATGTACATACACATGAAATAATTATTCATGTTACGTTGATTCTAATCTTCCTCCCAACTTCCATTATTGCAATTATTGTAATTTATGATTCTTGGAAATATACATTACTGCATGACATTGAATGTACTTACAGCAACTGTGACTTTTCCTAGAATTGGCTCAGGTATCCTTCCGGCTTTCTTTAATACCAAATCTAAAGACCCGCCATCCTGCAAGCAAACAACACAATAATGGCCTTTAAGGGATTTAAGAACTGTCAATAGATGGCGAGAAACTCATTGGGTTTCAACATCAAATTAGTTTCCCGGACATGCTCAATGAAGCAGTCGTGTTTTTACTGTATATTTGTGATGGAACAACCATCTTATTGAAATTTTCAAGATTTATTTTGGAGAAAATTGCCAACATGGAAATTAAATATTTTATCATAATTCCAAATCTTATGATTTTGATAGGCTTTTTTCAAAAACACTTCACTGTCAATAAAATACAGGTTTTTCCTATCAAACTTTTAACGTAATTTCAAATATTATTTAGCTATTGAAATTTTGGCCGCCTTAAGTCTTTCCTGCCATCATCCAATCATACAAAACCCTAAAGAGGACCTCCAAGTGATAAAATCAATGTGATGTGTGATAACTTTTGTTGAACCAACAACTATTTGCATGTGATCCTAACAAATGGACTTGAGCTAAGGACCAATAATCATTCCCATTTTAAAATACCCATGCAAGCAAAAATTCAATACGTTCTTTATCATTTATAAAAGCATTTCATTCATAAAATGCCTATTCATATAGCTGTTAATTTGTGTTGGTTGTTTAATACCATCAGTTGCTGGTATGTTAATAAGCATACAAAGAAATAGAACAATTTGCAACTTGAATATCCAGAATGTAGTATTCATATCATAAGAACTCTATTGGATAGCGTGCAATCGGGAATTGTAATGAGATTATGGTTATGCCTCAGAATCAGCTTTGATTATTGGCAAATTCTATTACAATGTCAATATACAGTGAAACATATTTTGGTAAATACCTCTTACTTGTGAACACATGTCTTTAGTGAACACCATTTCTAGAAAATGCTCTAATAACTTCTGTATACAAAACCTTTCTGTTGTTGGGAACACCAACGTATAGTGAATTTTGTAGCGTTGAAAGTGCTCATTGTACACAAGTTGAACTACATATTTAGATAAACTTGAGTTGCAGTCAATGTTGTCATATCAAATATGCTTATTAGGATTATGAATGAGAGATACATATATTAAATCACATTGAATCAGGAAATCCTTTATTTAATACTAGAACTGATAGTAACTATCAGTGCAAAAATGAGGCAAATATGAAGTGTAGTCTATTGATTGCTCTGGCTTGTCTATTATATTAGGGTCTCTTACTGAAGATCATGGTGTTAATTATATACCCCATCATTACTGACCCAACACAGCCAGGCCTGGTAGGCTCTGGTAGAACAGGGTGGAAAACATGGAGAATGTATTCAGAGATCGACCCTGTGTAGTCCAGGAGTAAACGAATGTGTGAGATTCAGGATATTGGGACCATCCTGGGGCATATATGCTATATAATGAAATACTGACAGCTGGAGGTCTCTAAGACAGATTTATTATATTGACCAAATAATAATTCCAATAAATCTTCTGTATACAAGGATTTGATCCTATGTTTCAAATTAATCTATGCCAGTTGACATCTTGTGAGTCAAAGGTGTTCATAATTCAGTAAAACAAAGTTATTGATTCATTTTCTTTTAAAAAACATTTTTTTATTAAGTGTACTAGCATTATTTAGTTGAAGTTGCTATAGAAATTTTGCTTCTTAAAACAAGACCAAAAGGCTGGATGAAAATAACAGAAAATTCCAACAAGGCACAGATGTGAACAATATCGTACATAAAACACAGCATTGTGGTCTTGTTGACCAAGAAAGCAAGATGGCCGCAGAAAAGTTAATCAGCTCTAGAACTTATCACTGTGTAACATATGTAAAAAATTTGAACGGTTTGGCTGGAAACCTGTAGACAAGTCTTGAAAGTGAAGATTTTAGGAAGGAAAATCCAAAATGGCCACCTTAAAATTTACCCAGAATGCCCAAAAACCAATCAGTTCTTGACGTTGATATGTAGAAACATCCCTGAAAATTTCAGATGAATCCCTCAAATGGTTTGGCTGAAAATCTGTAGACAAGTCTTGAAAGTGAAGATTTTAGGACGGAAAATCCAAAATGGCCACCTTAAAATTTACTCACAATGGCCAAAAACTAATCAGTTCTTGACATTGATACGTAGAAACATCCCTGAAAATTTCAGATGAATCCCTCAAATGGTTTGGCTGGAAACCTGTAGACAAGTCTTGAAAGTGAACATTTTAGGACGGAAAATCCAAAATGGCCACCTTAAAATTTACTCACAATGGCCAAAAACTAATCAGTTCTTGACATTGATATGTAGAAACATCCCTGAAAATTTCAGATGAATCCCTCAAATGGTTTGGCTGGAAACCTGTAGACAAGTCTTGAAAGTGAAGATTTTAGGACGAAAAATCAAAAATGGCCACCTTAAAATTTACCCAGAATGCCCAAAAACAAATCAGTTCTTGACGTTGATATATAGAAACATCCCTGAAAATTTCAGATGAATCCCTCAAATGGTTTGGCTGAAAATCTGTAGACAAGTCTTGAAAGTGAAGATTTTAGGACAGAAAATCCAAAATGGCCACCTTAAAATTTAACCAGAATGCCCAAAAACTAATCAGTTCTTGACGTTGATATGTAGAAACATCCCTGAAAATTTCAGATGAATCCCTCAAAAGGTTTGTCTGGAAACCTGTAGACAAGTCTTGAAAGTAAAGATTTTAGGACGGAAAATCCAAAATGGCCACCTTAAAATTTACCCAGAATGCCCAAAAACTAATCAGTTCTTGACGTTGATATGTAGAAATATCCCTGAAAATTTCAGATGAATCCCTCAAATGGTTTGGCTGAAAACCTGTAGACAAGTCTTGAAAGTGAAGATTTTAGGACGGAAAATCCAAAATGGCCACCTTAAAATTTACCCAGAATGCCCAAAAACTAATCAGTTCTTTCGTTGATATGTAGAAACATCCCTGAAACTTCAGATGAATCCCTCAAATGGTTTGGCTGGAAACCTGTAGACAAGTCTTGAAAGTAAAGATTTTAGGACGGAAAATCCAAAATGACCACCTTAAAATTTACCCAGAATGCCCAAAAACTAATCAGTTCTTGACGTTGATATGTAGAAACATCCCTGAAAATTTCAGATGAATCCCTCAAATGGTTTGGCTGGAAACCTGTAGACAAGCTGAAAAGTGAGACGCCACCCGCCCACCCACCCGTCAAGCTGACTACAATATCGTACCTCTTGTTAGGTACGATAAAAACTCAATGCCAATTCCCTATTATTTCATCTGTAAAATCAGTGTTCTGTATAAGCGTTCTAAATATTCACCAATTCCTATATTCATAAATCAGTAATAAAACACATACATGTTCGCAGGAGTCACAAACTGGCAGGGATAAGTGTATATATGAGGAAAGATTGGAAATTTACGATGGCCACCCCAGGCGTATTACATAAATACATGATAAGAAATATGAATATTTCATTTGATGCTGCTCAGAAATTGGAATTATTATTATTCTAAGAAATAGAAGATAATGGATTGGAATCCTGAAATGAGTTGCTGGCAGTGAAAGTACTATTCTTGTAGTCATTGGATGTTTTTATTGCAGCCATTCATGTACAGTCCATTATAATGTTAATTTAATGAGCTTTCCATTATAAATAATGTTATAGCTGCCATACAAAGCGCATGAAAAAGCTTGGAACAATGAAATGAGAATAAATTACCCGACCTACTTTCTAAAATATCACAGTTTAGAAGTTTGTACATAGGCAAATGTTAGTCTTGCTCAAAGATGGTGTAATACCCCCATACCGCCACCCCCCTATGACTATAATTAGTATGTACCTCACCTGACACCTGTGAGTGAAGTTGATCAGGGGGGGTCCAGAGTCTTAAGCAAAACTAGCAAATATGTTTGAGAAACAATTTTGGATAATATGATCTCGGTAATATCAGACAAGATATTATTAACATGTAAAATGTCAACATCTGCCATTTGTTACAGAACATTTGTTACACGAATTACCAAACAATGAATGATGAACTCTCTCCACACAAAAAAGTTGGACACTATAACAATATCTCACCACTTGCAGATACGATCACAGGAAATAAATTTTGACATGTATATGTGATATCATTCAAGTATTCCGATATCATCTCCCGATGCCCATGGAATAATTAATATCATCGAATTAGCTCCAGAGTTGTGACACCCTCCTTTTTGAAAAATATCTAGATGTTTTTATTTTGATGATTTTGTTTTCTACTGCATCACAAAACCAACAGAATTCACTACCTTTATGTTCAAAAAATATGTATTTTTTTTATATATATCTTTCAAAAATGCACTGATGTCAATATCAATGATATCAATGCTTTAAGTCTACTAATATTTGTGTAATCACATGATAAGGCCCAAATATCAAATACCAAAATACTTAAATGGCTAGATATCAAAAACTATTAATTTGGCTAATCATTAATTAATGAATAAAGCCTAAGCTCGCATTTTGCTATACTGAAATGAAACAACAAGGTTGTAAGAAATCTCTAGGAATAAGCCACCATAGGCAATCTTAGCCTATTGATATTTAGTGAAATCTGTCACTGTTTCCAATTTGCAGAAAAAACACAATTTTATTTCTCATTTAATTAATCACTGCAACTTTAGAGAGTTTACAATTGATTGGTCCCCAGATCAATTTTCATCCAAATTATAAAACCCTGGATATGGCACTGATGCAATAATCTACAATGAACACTGGCTTATTTAACAGAAATAATACATTTGAAAACTCTGATGCATTTGACTCAATTTTCTGAGAAAAAACAATCACCCTGCTGTAAGAGAACATCATTTTTCAAGGAAAGTCAAATGCATAAATCAATCATTTCAAAGAATAATAACGATATTCAGGTTATTATGTTTCAGTTTTGGGAATCATATTTGCACCAACCATTTTTGCTGGAAACGCCATCAACCCATTATGACAATCATTTACAGGTACAAGTTTTCTGTATGAAAATGGCACAGTTTATCAGTATATTAGACCATAAGATCACCTATTCTTTAAGTAGGACACAGTAATCTAGTTTTTATTCATTCATTTCTAGTGCTCAATGCAAATCTAATTCCGAAGCACAATTTTGAAAGACTAGAGCACAATGACCTAGTTTGCTTTAAGAATTCTTATATTTTCTATTGAAGAATGAAAAACAAAAGGTACTGGTAGGTACTTTTTCAACTGAGAAATTTAATATCTCATGTATTCCCCTTCGTGTTTTTATGTAGCATACCCTCTGTCTCTGTTCAAATAAAAGGGCGGGGGGGGGGGGGGGCACTAGCTTAAAGATTCTCGCAATCTTTATCCAATCAGCGTTTGCGAGTGTTTCGGCTCACGTATAAAAGGCGAATCCAACTCAAATCCATGCAGGGGTGTATGAGGTACTCGAATAGGAAAGAGCTCGTGAAATCTGAATTTATATGCACATGGTCAATGTTTACACATGTTTGGAGTTTTTGAAGAAAATGTAATATGGGTGTGGTTCCGAATTTGAAGTCATTGCTGGAAAATATGATTTTAATACGTGAAATTATATCTATAATTATAGCACTAAAAATAACAGTACACTTGAAGTACATGTATGATTGTGTTTAGAAATGTTTGAAACCCTTACGGAAAATTCTGTCTGCATTTTGTCATCATTGCTCTTTCTTCCCGCATTCTAGTGCTGTTTGAATGAATATATTAACTAATGTATTTCTAACTAAAACATATCACTTTTTTTATAAACCACAAACATTTAGATCATAAAAAAATTATTCAATACTTGAGTGAGCACGATATGCAAGGGTTACTAAGTTGACGCAGTAAATGACCACTGATATTGTGTTAGTCCATGCACACAGCATACACCCCTCACTTTCATAGTGAAGTGACTAATTGGTTTATGTTTACGTTTTAATGTGTTTTGGGTTCCTTGTTACAGCAAGGGGGGCCAGTAAAGTAGACTAACATGTTTGCATGGCAAATTTTGATCGAATATGTGAGACACTTTAACTCAAATATTTAATTCACCTTGATATCTATTATATGAACATGTATTTCAATGAAGAAAATTTCTTTATTTGACCTTTTTCTGACTTTTCTAGGTCAAAATTGGAAAATCATTTTAGATAAGTCCCTTTGATTTAATTTGAAATATTGCTTGGCAAGACATCTTTGTTTCCACTCACCATATATTCCATACATATGTTGATTTCGCCATCACTGTAATAAGCACCAAAATAGCCGACTATATAGGGAGAGTTGCAATCATGTAGAACCTTTAACTCCCGGATGATCTGGTTCCTCACAGCAGGTTTTATTTCTAAATGGATTAACTGAAACAAAAACATCGAATATGAGAATGTAGCCTAACATTGTAGATATAGAGGCTGTCTCTCTGTCTGTCTGTTGCAATGATATCCCGATGATAAAGGAAGGGAGGGGGTATATGTGTTACATGGTGATTTAGTGACATGTTCACATAAAATAATACTGTAAGTGTTAGAATAACAATTCATTTAAGAGTCAGCGATTCTGAAACTGTAAATTACATGTTCTTAAGCAAAAAGTTTATTTTATTGATTTATTCCAGGCACTTTTCTACCAACATCTAGACTGTCGTCCCTATCTTAATTGGATTGACCTTATAAAATGATGACGAATTCAGAAAAATTCAAATACCTTCTTAGCCATTATGAGGCCTGTACATTTATGTGACACTTTAGTAACAACGCCGCCATTCCCTGCTCCAAGCTCTGCTTTCTTCTCAAGATCTTCATTATTCAGTTCACCGACTTTCTGTTTTTTCGTCAAGAATTCTTCAAGCCTTTTTCTCTGCGTATCGTCAATATCCAATTCATCTAATCTTTTTTGTAATGCTTCTATATTTGTACCACTTGTGGTTCTGGAAACAGAGATCAGTGAACATTAAAGTGCAGTGAAGACATCTGTACAAATTAATAAACAGTTATGCATCCTTTGTTATGGCATATGATTAAAGCCATATTGTTAAAGTCATATGATTGAATAACAATTCAACCAAAAGGTATATCGTCCATCCCGGTATGCAATTTAGTTTCAAGCTTTTGCGATTCAGGTAAAATCACTAAAATTAATCTTTGTAAAATTGTCAATTAAATTCCCCGGGGATTTGTGAAATTCTTATTACCTGGAACTCCAATTGCGTTTCATGATTTGTAAAACGTTTGTTCAGTTTTATTAGGCGATAAATGGGATTCTAAGCAGTTACAGTGTGTTATGAGATCAAATATACGAAAAATGATGATGTTAAAGAAGTGTCCTTACTGTACATGAGACTACTTTATTTACAGAGCTTGAGAATTCAGAGATTGATGAGATTTTAACTTGTGAAATCTGCAAAATTTTTAATTTTATCCGCGAAATCATTTTTAATTCTCGAAAATATTTCGCGAAATTGAGAGTGAGAATATTGTTATCATCCTGAACTATCGAATATAAATCTATTGTCTGTGATTGATTTGAAAACACAGAATAACTTGGTTGCCAAGGACTGATGCAGAAATGAAAATAAATCAGTTAACCTCTCCTAGTCTCCTCTCCCCACAAGTTGCAACTACTCGACAAGAAAGTATACACTAACAAAAAGGACTGGCAAAAATACAGACAACGTCACAGAATATCTTTGACTAATTTTGATTCAACCAATCAGAATGCAGCAAAGCTGTTCTCTAATTCTCCATACTTGAACGACCATATATTATGCACATCTATCTGGGAATCTGCATTGTATTGTGATGTCACATCTAGGGCTCTGTCTGGGCATGGCCACAGACAAATTTTGATGAGAACATAACAAGTTAAACAATGTTTTCTTCATTTTCTGACTAGGGATGGCCACTGACGAATTTTAACAAGATGACAACAACTTAAACAACGTTTTCTTAATCTTTTATATTTGAATCTGAGTCAATAATTCCAGTCTATTCAATGTGGTAAAATTCACATTGAATTCCATATTGAATGGACTGTCATTATTTACTCGGATTCAAACATAAAAAATGAAGAAACATGCTTTGTACAACATTCTGTTCGACTCGGGCTGGATTTTACCATATCGAATGACCTATCATTATACTATTTTTTCCTTTACATAGTAATTGGAGAAATTCATTGCCATTAATCATAGAGTACATCCTTGAAACTTTTACATTAGGAGATGTAAAACAGGTAAATTTATCTAATTGCCTTCTGTCAGGCTTTTAGACCGTGGCGCAGCACCACAGTCTATTTGGCCCCTGCCATAACATATTGGAGAATCATGATTGCTTCTACAGTCTAAACTTGACTGAATATACAATAATAGCAAGTAAAAAAGAAAACATTTAACATAAATATGATTGATTGAATGTTTTCACTTAAGTTTACAACATGGAACATTCAGACACTGTGGAGTTCAATCCAGGCATTAGCTTTTCTCAGTCTAACATGGGTCCTAAAAGAATCCATTGCGTGCTGCAATCTAGTAAGAAATCTTTCATGCAGCTACCACAGGCGTACCACACACCTCAGAAATAAATTTCCTTCAGGTGCACAGCCAAACATCCCTTGTGTTAGTTTACATTTCTTCCAAACTTTCTTGGTAGTCATTCTGGTACTTTCTCCAGCAGTCCAATAGTCTAATCATGGGCTCTCAATTAGACTAGTTGAAAGCCCATGGTCTAATGTTACTTAGTTTGCACAAAGCTATCTCTTGGGAGATAGCTTTGCATATCTTGACATACCAAGTCCATGTTAAAGGTCTTTTACGGAAATGTAAGAAATCGTTGGAACACTTACAATACTTCAATCGATGTATAACATCATAAAATATCGGTTTAATATTCGTAGAACGCTATCCGGAGTCGGGAGACAGTGTAATTGACGAAAAATGTATTTGGAACTTGTTATTTTCCATGTCATCTGACCAGGAAGTCTTGCCAATGCGCATGCGTGTAACCGGAAGCGGAAATCTGTAACCGGAAGCGGAAATCTCATGGCATGTAGGCGCATGCGCATTACCAAACTTCCCGGGAAGCCATCTTGAAAATGATCGACTCTTCGACATTTTTCGTCAATTACACTGTCTCCCGACTCCAGATTGCCCAATAAGGTTAGAAAAACTTTATTTTAGAATGTTATGCATCAATTGAAGTAGGGTAAATGTTTCCAAGATTTCTTACATATTTCGAAAAGACCTTTATAAAGGACTGGGAATATCGAGTTTTGCATAGCCACCTATCTAAAAGATGGCTATGTGCAAATATAGTAAGTCTAATGCAGTGGTGAGCATGTTAGACAAAATTGGAGACCACTAAGTGGCTTCAAATTCCTCCCCCATAACCAATGAAAATATGACCATGATGATAGAGGAAGGAAAGAGCCTTAAAATGCTTTTTATTTGAAGCTTCTAGCTCAATTTTGAAGGAAGTTACATATATTTTTGTGAATTCAAAACAAATCTTACATGTATTTATCTTGTTAACACTGTTACATGTTTTAAAATTTTATTTTAAAGATTTCTATGTCTATATGTCGGTCAATAGCGCTTGCGCTAATGTTTATTGTACAAAAATTATCCGACTTGAAATAAATATTGATATGATTATGATATGATGTTTTCTAATGATCTAATTATGTTATATATTCGTATTTTTCGTTTTTTGGGTACCTGTTTTTTTAGACCGGGTACCGGGTACCAAATCTGAACCCATCATGAAGGATTTACTACCCGGTACTCATTTTTTTCTACAAACCCAAAAATCCCAACACAATTCCAAACAAGGGCTGATGTGAAAAAGTCAGTCCACCCCATTAGATTGCTTCTACTTTTGCTTAGGGTCAAGATCCGTCGAACTTCGACGTATGGGGTTACTTCGTCATGGGGCTATTTCGACCATGGGGCTATATTGACATGACTTATATTTCCCCGCATTCACGAATTCCACCATCATTGACAAATGTAACCAAAACCGTCTGGCCCAGTAATCTACTCCCGATTCTGAATTGTCGTAGATCTAGGGCCAGACAAGGTCCAATGCAAAAAAGGGGGTATTTACTCCGGAAAAAACACTGCTGAATCATCACTTATTATTCATTCCCTATTAGCCATCCAACCAAAACATCGGGTACCATGTAAACCCAAGTATTTATTTGAAATAAAGAGAACATAACTTACACGTAAATGTGGTGTTTTGTTTGTTGTATTGATGTTGAAATGGGCACAACATTTCGTCAATATTTCGTCAGTTCTCCGCACCGAATAAAGTCACGTGATGTGACGTAACACGAGTGTGACGCGATAATTTTTAAACTTTCATGGAACGAAAATACATTTCCCGGGAATCAATACATTCCAAATATTACGATTTGTTCAGCAGATTTGTTATCAAAACGTAGATTACTTTATAAAACAGACGTGTCTGTGTTGTATTTAAACTGGAAAGAAATATGGTGGACATAAAATACGATTTTTCAATTTGTTGAACTGACAGAATGTAGTACTGAACGAAATAAGCAGCTGAGACTTCTCGATATTCTACGAGATCACGAATAGATTGCAGAAGAATTTTTCTTTTTGCTGCGTTTAGACATTTCGCTCTTATGTATTAGCCGTCATCCAGCGATGGAAACCTAATATAAATACAAAGTTTGATACAAGGAACAAACACGTAAGTGATTTTTATGATGTTTATTCATTTATCAGCACGTATTAGGGGAAGTGGTCCTAATTATCGCACGGTCCTAATTATCGCACGATTGTTCTAAATAGCTAAAATATGCACCCACCATCTTTTAAACCAGTGTTACGAAAAACAGTTCAACACCATTACTCCCAATCTTCATGATTTATTCATATATTTAGAAATATCTCTTCATTTTTTAAGAATTGTTAACTTCCGCCATTGTCATAAATGCTTTTGCGCAAGAAGTGAAATTCGTCTGACAAACTTTGACCCCCTCCAAATAAAGATAGAAAAGTAAGTGTATAATGTATATTTTGTTGATATTTTACACTAAAACTGATAGAAAAATGATTACAGCATATGTATGTATCTGTTATAAACAGAGAAATGTATACAGTATCGTGAAATGACATCTGAAACATAACTGTGCGATAATTAGGACGACTGTGCGATAATTAGGACCACCGCACATGCGGGTCTAAGGGGTCTTAAAGTGTTAGCGTTCGGAGATTGAGAAATGTCAAACACTACTTAGATTTTAGAGGAAAGGTTGGTCTTTTGTCTCATATTCTCAAAGTTAGTTGAAGTTATCATATTTGAAATCGTCAGTAGTTTCCCTGAGTACCCGTGCGATGATAGGACGAATTCCCCTATACATTGAAAAACCAGTGTGTTTTTTCCGGAGTAAATACCCCATTTTTTGCATTGGATCGAGTCTGGCCCAGATCTACGATGTCAGGAGTAGATAACTGGGCCAGACGGGTTTGGTTATGACAAATGATGACACAACTTTAAACTCGTAGACCAATGAGAATATTTTGTGACTATGAGAGCATGGCACAAGAACCTCTAAAATAAGAAACTAAAGGCCTGGAATAAAGACTTAACAAGTACTCACTCATTTGTGTTGTTTTCGGTGTCAGGCGCTGGCGGAAGAGTCAAACCCAATTTGTTTTTCTTCGGCATATTCCAAACTCTTTATAAAGCAATTACTTTGCAAAAACTATTCTATATCATTCCTGAAGTAGCTTCATTCATGTGGTACGTTTGTTTCACTCTGTTGTGTTTTAATTCGGCGTAAAACCGAGAAATTATAAGCGAACAGAAATAAATCGGAAATTTTTCTAAAAACCTAGATTTACATCCCATAATAACCGGAACTAAAGGGCACCTGTTGACCTTTTGAATATTCATAAGCAGGTGCTATAGAAACAAGGTTATTTCGAGGCGCCATCTATTTCGAAATTACTATTTCTCCCACAATGCAATTGTACTTCCTTTTTCAATCCACAGTGAGGTTTGTGAAATATTATTTCGAATCTTGATATATATCTGAAATATTCTCCTTCATCTTGCATTGAATCAAAGAATAAATAACATATACACTTCCCTTATTCTATTCTCAGTGACACCAGATTACTATTTTGTGCAGAACTATTCCGTGTCACCTATTATTTACCTATTTTTGAAATGCCTATATGTTTTTTATTTTTTATCGTCCATTTTTCTCAAATTTTGCATGTTATTTCGAAAATATGAGATGTTAACGTTGTGAAACGCATCTCATGATATAGATTATTTGTTTGTTTCCTATGTACCACTCTCTTATCTGTGTATGGTAACCATTTGGTCAGTAACACAATTCATTTTTTCATTTCAGTCAAAATGACTCGTTACTCGCTGGATCCACAGAATGCCACTAAGTCGGCAAAGGCAAAGGGGTCTCACCTCCGAGTGCACTTCAAAAACACTCGTGAAACAGCACAAACCATCAAAAAGATGCACCTCCGACGTGCCGTGCGCTTCTTGAAGAATGTTGTCGGCCATACTGAATGTGTGCCATTTAGACGGTACAATGGTGGAGTTGGCAGATGTGCTCAGGTAATTTCTTAGTCTATATTTTCAGTAAAATATTTGCAGACTGTACGCATGGTTCTTATTAATTTGCTTAGGTTAGGGTGCATGTTCGAATTTTGCTGCAACCCTAATAGGGTCACATGTTTAGTGGTGCTACGATAAATCGGCAACTCGAATAATCACTCGTTTGGGGAAAAAAATTTGAAATTCGATTTTTGTTTTCACCTCCGATTTCGGCTCGAATTGTGTACCATTCGAGTCGGGTCACGTCAATTCGAGTCAGGAACACTATTTACTATAAAAGTACTTACATGTTGATCTATAATCAGTTGATAAAACGTAAAATAACATGTAGAAAACAATTTGTTTTGTTCATTTCTTTTACTTCCGGGATCTAACCTTATCTCAGTGAGCTCTGGACGAAATGCTACAGTAGGATAATAATAGGGTCAGAGCCTCGTTTCGAAGTTGACCTTCGGGGTGCTGCAAATATTCTATAGCTGGAACCGCTAATTAGCAAAATAATTAAATGCATTTCGAAATTTTACTTCCGGGCGTCTTTTTTATTTGTTATACGTCTATAGAGTTGTTAAAATAAACAAAAAACATATTTGAAGGTATGTAACACATTGCACTTTATTTGTTTTTTCAATAACATCGATGATTTACATCAAAAAAGTGGTTGGCAGCGGGTTGGGAGATTCCCTTCAAAAGTTTGGAAAAAATCGAATTTATTCGATTAATCGTCGTTTATTTTTGTCCCGATAATCGAGTCCGAAAATTCGGGCGAGTCCCACCACTACACATGTTACTTTTCAAATTTGAATCACCCCTTCCCCACAATGTCTACATCTCTCTTCTTTGCACAACAAGTGCACTAATGAACCTAGAAAAGTAATCCGTTTATAATGATTTTGAAAACGTTATCCAAAGAGTGATTGCGTTCAAAGAATACATGTACAACAGCCAATATAAATCCTTGTATTAGAAACCGGTTTGTCTTGCTTTGTTTCATTTGTAGGATATTTCATATGCCAAGCTGTGTGCTATTACGTTATGGGGAAATTTAGATGCCAATTTTTCCTTATTATACACAAATAGAAGATCCTGAAACTTCACCCATAAATGTGGAATTGATTTGTCAAAATAAAAATCACCCTTTTATAACTGTGTGACGATCTATAATATACTTATGCTATATAACAGTTAGAGGTGTTGACACAATGACCTCGAACCTGTGAACCCTTGAGTATTATTCCGGGATCGGGCCTTTTATACTAAACGGTGAGCAACACCAGAAACGAGCGTTCGATTTGTTAAAGGATATGCGTCACCCTTTAACTACAGCCATTATTGTTTCAGACGATTTTTTAAAATTTCAAAGATTGTATCATTTAGAGCAATATGTTAAGGTCTCATGGAAGTTAACAGGAAATGACAAAACAAAAAATGACAAAGCCATGCTGGATTTTGAAGATTTTTTGAACCAAGATAACAGAGTTCTGTTTGGACCTCCAGTCAGTTTAACTAGTTCCAAATATCATTTACATGACCAGGAACACAATTGAAATGGTCAGAATGACCATAAACATGATAAAATAACCTTTTTAGCCCTCTGAAAATGTGACTGAAAAATAGCTAAAAGTAGGTGCTCAGGAAAGGTCAATGAACAGAATCTTTTGATTTTTTCAGAAAATGTGTCCAATATATTGCTCTAAATGACACAATCTTTGAAATTTTAAAAAATCGTCTGAAACAATAATGGCTGTAGTAAAAAGGAAAATAGATCGATTTTCAATTCAGTTTTTTTCAATTTTTTCTTTTTCTAAGAATGATATCAAATTTTTTGAATTGTATCATTTAGAGCAATATATTGGGCACATTTTCTGAAAAAGTCAAAATATTCTGTTCATTGACCTTTCCTGAGCACCTACTCTTAGCTATTTTTTAGTCATATTTTCAGAGGGCTGAAAAGGTTATTCTATCATGTTAATGGTCATTCTGACCATTTCAACTGTGTTCCCGGTCATGTAAATGATATGTGGAACTAGTTAAACTGACTGGAGGTCCTAACAGAACTCTTGTTATCTTGGTTCAAAAAATTTTCAAAATCCAGCATGGCTTTGTCATTTTTTGTTTTGTCATTTCCTGTTAACTTCCATGAGACCTTAAACACTTTTTCTGAAAAAATCAAAAGATTCTGTTCATTGACCTTTCCTTCGCATGTACTTTTAGCTATTTTTCAGTCACATCTTCAGAGGGCTGAAAAGGTTATTTCATCATGTTTATGGTCATTCTGACCATTTCCATTGTGTTCCCGGTCATGTAAATGATATGTGGAACTAGTTAAACTGACTGGAGGTCCAAAGAGAACTCTGTTATCTTGGTTCAAAATTTTTTTCAAAATCCAGCATGGTTTTGACATTTTTTATTTTGTCATTTCCTGTTAACTTCCATAGCGCCTTAAGTGATTATAATCCAGTGTTCGCCTTGATGCCGTTTTTTGCCATTTTTACGGAAATTTCAGAACAATGTTGTTATTTGTTAATCTATTCAATCTATTGTGAGAAACAACTGCGTATTGTATTTTGATGTTTTTATGAATATGGCCTCAACATCGCTATGTCTCACAGGCTGGTATCGAAAGATTTGTCCGCTGTGACGGAGCATGCTATTTGTCATAAAAACATTAAGAATGCTTCACGATTTATTTTTTTACTCATATGTTTCGTTATATCAAAGATAATTACTTACTCCATGCAATGGATATATCATTTGCGTGTAACCTTCACTTCTGTTTGAAGTCCAATAACGCTAGGAGTAAAATCTATTGAAAACGGCGCCAGAGTATCAAACTCTAAAATGTACCATTTCTTTTTTAACTTTTTAATGGCATGATATAGTGACACGATAATATTAACATATGTTTTAAGCATAACTCTGAATGTATTAATGAGATATTAATGCATTGGGTCTTTTTAGTTTTTTTAATAAAAAATAATATTAATATTTTTTGTCCGCTGTGACGGAGCATTTTCACAGTTCATATTTGCAACTGCTCCGTCGCAGCGGACAAAAAAATTAAACATTATTTTTTATAAAAGAATTAAAAAGACCAAATACATCAACATCTCATTTATACCTTCATAGTTATGCTGAAACCATGTGTAAATATTATCGAGTCACTATATCGTGCCAATAGAAAGTTAAACAAGAAATGGTACATTTTGAAGTATGATACTCCGGTGCCATTTTCAATAGCTTTTCTTCCCAGCGTAATTGAACTTCAAACAGAAGTGAAAGTTACCCGCAAATGATAGATCTATTGCATGGAGTAAGTAATTTTGTATGGTATAACGAAACATATGAGTTAAAAAATAAATCGTGAAGTATTCTTAGTGTTTTTATGAAAAATAGCATGCTCCGTCACAGCGGACAAATATTTCGATACCAGCCTGTGTGTCTGAGACTCCAAAATCACGAGAGACAACAACTTTCCTTAATTCTTTTGTTGGTCAATCAGATCTAAGAAATGTGAAAAATCACAAGGCTACAGTGCATTATTATATGCTTAAATGCATTCATAATTGAGATACAAGACTCTTGTTAGTTTTATGCAAAGTGATTTGTGGCCTTTTGTAAATTAGAGAGTTTCACCAATGTTAAATATCAAACCGTGGTTTGAAATTGAAGTTTCAAATTACACGAAGCTACACTGTATTTGATTGAACATTTGATTGAACATTTGATTAAAACCAGGAACTTTGGTCTACATGTAGTGAGGATGATAAATTGATACGGTCATTGCAGATTGTTTTTTGTCTAAAATAAACAACTAAACGTGTATGAACTTATAAAATGCTTGTTTCTATTTCAGGCTAAACAACACAAAACTACCCAAGGTCGTTGGCCAAAGAAAAGTGCCGAATTCTTGCTGCAGCTTCTCAAAAATGCAGAGTCCAACGCAGAATACAAGGTATATATTCTTGATATTACAAGATTGTCCCACCTGCCTACAGTTGGCTGTTGTTCTCTGTGGAACTTTTGTATATGTGATAATTGACGATGGAGTAATCCTCATTATTTAACAAAAATAACATCTGTCTCAATTTTCCTGCTTAAGATGTTATTATTTGTCACTATTGTTATTATGTTTGGAAATAAAATCGGACTTATCCTTGATCAAAGTTTGTTCTTTGCTTTTGAAAAAAATTCAAGAAATATAAGTTCTAAAATCTTGTTTTGCTCAAAGTTTGGCTCATATTTTATCTTTCATCTATGTTATTTCTGTTTTTCTATTGGAATACACAAGGTGCTTTCAGTTCTTTGATGTATCTAACATACTGACTGAACTTTGTAAAGAACAGATGCATTGATTTTACAATAGTAACATTGATAATTTGTGCTATTATGAATGTGAGATGATAACTGTTGTAGGGCTTGGACACAGATCACCTTGTAGTGGAGCACATTCAAGTCAACAGAGCCCCTAACATGAGGAGAAGAACATACAGAGCTCACGGAAGAATAAATCGTAAGTAAATGTTTGTGCACCGTTAGCATGAATCCTATTCAGAGACGGATATAGACGGATATAAATTGTATCCTGTTTTATTTAGGCTGCTGTAAATTGCTTTAATTTGAGAGCTATTTTAATTTGGTGGATTGATAAAACATTGTTGAGAGATTGATACTCTTTTGAAACATTGATGTACTATTGATACATTGACAATTTTATTTTGAGGTGAAACAGGTGCAACAAACGGGGCTGCTAAACTGTAATAGGCAGAGGGTAGTTTATAACTAGATTCTGTGTGCAGGGTAGATACATTGATGCACTATTGATACATTTACAATTTTATCTTGCAGCCTACATGAGTTCCCCATGTCACATTGAGGTGATTCTCGCAGAGAAAGAGGGCGCTGTTGCCAAACCAGAAGAAGAAGAAAAGACCAAGAAGAAAGTGTCCCAGAAAAAACTCAAAAAGCAGAAAATGATGATGAGGGACTAAAAGACAATGTGCAAATTTTCCTGTATAATTTAAAACAACATAAATGGTCTGTGAGAAAGAAAAGCAACTTCTGTTTTGTGAAATTGGAGTATGTGCATGAATTAAAAGTATATGAGATGTCGTATACAAGTAATTCTTGTAATACTGGGGCCACAGTGGATTACCATGGTGGTTTTAAATGCAATAAGATCATTGAGTCTCAAGTGCAAGTAAGACCTAAATAAATAGGTTCCCCACCCATGAGTTGAAATACACGACCTTATTTTGAAAGTATTCTCAATATAAGCCTTTTTCATGAGAAAATATCCAGTAATTTAGAGTATTTGAATCTAGATGATTTTGAAGCTTCCAGCTTAGTTAATAAATTCACATGATATTATCGTTTGGCAGGAATACCAAATGTTGATTTAGAGCCATCAAAAATTCTAAAAAGCATAATGTCCTGTTTAAGAAACCCTATTCTTACTATTGAAAATGGATTTCAGCAATTCTACCTATGAGTATCCACCGCTGTGTATCTCCTCCATTATTCCTGGGGAAACGTTTTTGTTCAGTGTAGAAACGGAGGCAGAAACAGATACACCGGGTCAACTGCAGCTATCATTTTAAAGCTTATCCAAGGTTACATTGACTTGCCATGGTGCAACTCACAAATGGGAAAAAGTATTTTAAAACTTAGTGTTTGGCCAAAATTAATATTCAATTCAGTATCTTGGAAACCGATTTTTGACCAAAAATAATGGTGTTCTCGTCAAAGCTAAGATGGATGTTGAGTTGGAAAAAGAGGATGGTAAGAGCAGATACTCCAAGAAAACTCTAAAAATGCCCAAGGTAACTTTGGATTAAGCTTTAAAAGGATCTATATAACATACTCTGGAGACATTAGTATATGCCTGCTTATGGGGGTTTACTTTCGGGCTACCCTGTGCATATTTCATATGGTACTATAAGTACACAGAGTGAACGTGAGTAAATAACAAGTTTAAAAACCTCTAAATTCTATCAGTAGAGTGAATAGTAATGTTTTACAGTTGAACGTGATAGGAAAATTAGTTATGTGATGCTCGGTTTTGAAACCATCCGGCCTCTTGTTAAGATATTTGTTTCCTACGGGATACATCCATAGCCAAAACCTCCCGTAGCATAAACCTCATAACCCATCCGCTAATGAAAAGACAATCCTTTATATGTTATGTACCTCAAACACCTCTAAGTATGGGATAAAAATCATATCCGACGTTACATTCTTTTTCTGAGTGACTTACTCATTACAATACAAATGGGCACATATTGGAAACCTCTGATAATTTTGAAGAAATAATATGTCAGTTATGTCACGCACCTGTTGTGTTTTGTATCTACCTGTCGACTACTCTTGATGTCACGTTGAGATTGTAAAAATACACTTTCACACATAGCTAGCAAGGTGTGTCCAATGAATCCTATCCCATAGCCTGGGCTGATAAATTGAAAGCCCTGACCTCAGATCATGGGCGTCAGGTAGGAATGAGTTGTCCAAGAAAGTGACGCTGATTTTTTGATGTTAACGTTAAATGGTGCAAAAAATAAACTTTCTTTTCTTGACTGCAACTAGGTTTAAATCAAGAAAACAAAAAACTCGTAACCAGGAAGTTCATCCATTTTGTTACATTGACTTTCCGTCAAAGTAACTAGTTGTGGAAGAGTAACATTGATGCTGACTGTTGGTACTACAGTACCTCCAAAAATAAAATCAACGGTCTTTCGTTACCTCACATCATGTGCTTGTTATCGGGTTTCCATTGTTCAATGCAACTTTCTGCTTGTTTTAAGCTGAGACTAACATATTTTATGTTAGTTTAAGTGCTAAATAAAAAGACGTTTCGCAAGTGATGATTTTAATATGATGGATATAGTCCTGAGTAAGGACATTATCTGAATAAGAAGTCATTTTCTCCTTCCCTACCCCATTGGAGCGCCATCTAGCGTTTGGGAAGTGAATCGGGACTAAATATTTATAGGGTAGGTCCTAATTTATCTGAAAACATGTCAGAGTTCAGTGGGAAATCTCATTTTAAGCTGGCGGCGGAGTGATTTTGACCTTGGTGATTTTACCAGAATTCTCTGAGAAATCTGACGATAGAGGGGGTTAGTGTCTTCAAGTTTATTTATTTCAAAAATTCGGTGGACAACCCATGGTAAGATTGTTATAGCAGGCTAGGCGAGTCTCTCCCGAACACTGTGGTATGTTGCACTAGGCTTGGATACTAATCGTTAATAAGATACAGGGTAAAATGTTATAATGGCCACCTATGGGAAACTCTACTGGGGTCATCAACCGATATGATTAGTTAGGAGCCCTTTTCTCGAAAATATCGAGAAACTGGCTCCAGTTTAAAAACGTTTAACACTACGTTCAATGCATCTAGTTCGAATATTCCAAGTGGTCATACACTAGTTAGATATATCAAGGTGAAGATGGAGCAACTAAAACCTTGAGAATCAAGATGCGTTCAATGTTCAATTATTAACTAAAAAATAGGCCTCAAAGGAGCATGTATGTTATCGCAAACAATTACAAACGATTTTAACTTGAATTATGAATATTTTCTGATCATGAACACGTGCGTATCTTTTAGTTCCATTCATTATCTTCAAGAAAAGTATATATAATGATAATTTAGTTAATCAGACCTCAGTAATATTGAAGGGGCAATGGACCAATCAACATACATTTTCAAAAATGTTGACCTAATTTTCACCAAAAATGCAACCTTTTATTATATTGTTGAATGCATACGGTTAGAATGTGCTTTGAGACATGTTCGATTTCCGAAAAGGAAAAGTGCTACAGGGACCTTAAAGAGTACTGAATTTGGATGACCAAAATGAACTGAAACCAATGGATAGCTTGAGATTTTTCAATGGAGAAATAACATGGGGAACACTTATCTAAAGCAATTAAGTTTTTCTTTCAAGAACTATTTCACTGGGGGGTATCGTGATGCAACAACACCGTGTTGTTGCATCAAGATGGCCAGACTTCCGGTGGTAGATTTTCGTACGATGTTTTGTTTTCCAAATTTACACCCATTTCTAGGACGAGTTGCTCAATAATCATACACATGCAGTTAGCGCATGATCTATATTTTAAAAAACTGTCATTGGTATACATGTAGCATCATCAAGAAGCGATAAATTCGTGGTTTTGATTCCTCACTATTGATGCAACAACACCACTCTGTTTCTTATCGATGATGCAACAACACCAATGTGCTGATGCAAAAACGCCAATATAATGTATCATTGAACAACAAGAGAAACTTTTTTATGTTCTGTTTACAGGTGTAGGTCGGGACATGAATAAAACGCGTGAGTCAGTGGTCCATGGACGAAACGTATTTTGTTTGGTTTCTTTGTCTATATCAAAGTTAAAAGGATATACAAGGCAAACTAAATAAAGTACTAAATCCCCGGGAGGCAATCTCATTGATATTGTATCTGAAAAATAAAGATTATACATTTTCTAAATTAAATGCCCTTGATTTGCCGTATGGAAATTGTTTACAAATAACTAATATAATTTTGGAAAGACAACGTCATTTTGTGTTAGTCATGTTAGTACCTCAATTGAAATACTCAATTCTGATTGGTTGATGAGCGGTCAACAAAATGTATTGTTAGTACCTCAACTGAAAATATCGATTCTGATTGGTTGATTAGCGGTCAAAATTATGTACTGTTGACCGCTACTAGGTACTGTTGACCGCTACTTCTGAGAAAAAGTTTCATGAAGTCACAAAAAAACATGGAAGATGGACATTTTGTAAACGTTGATGAAAATGACTTTACTAGGCGACAAGTATGGCAAAAGTACAAATAGAAGCTTAAAATTAACATTAATTCACTAACGAGTACGCCGTGATGTGCCAAATACAGAGTTAAGCTACTTGCACTGTCTCCAGATTTTCTAAAAAAAATATTTGGTCAACAATATATATATGGTCAACAATTGTAAACTGTTGACCACTACTAGGTACTGTTGACCGCTATTTTTGAAAAATTGTTTTTTTAATGTTGAAATTTTTTAATTTTGAAAAATTACAAGTATTCGACGGTTTGGGGATTTTTTGCTAAAATATGATACCTTTACTTATCAAATATGTTCACGTGATATTCGATTATATATTCGTCCAATTATTATATTCTTCGGACTAACAAACAATTGTTAACCTCTCTATTCGGTCAACTGGCCAAAGTGTATACCTCAACAGTAAACCCTGAGAGTACTGTTGACCTCGACCTCCGAACTTTCAAGGATTACAGTATTGGTATACAATTTTGCCAGTTGACCTCAAGAGAGGTCTACAATTGTATATTGTATATCCTTTGTTATCCCACCCAAAGTATGATGTCATATATCAAGTTGAAGAGTTGTATACGTTTACGCTATCCAGGAGTTGTACATCGTTCTCAAGAGATGTAAAGGATGAGTGTTGGTTTAATGATATTGCAGTTATACAATGCTATTATATAAACGTTATTTACTGAGAGGGATTCAATATTGGTTTTATTCCGAGAGACAATATGATATTTCCCGAGGGCCCGGGATATCTGGGATAACTGTACCCCTATCAATTTACCTTTTCGGGCCCTTAATCTTATCACTTTTGTTTTCCTTTTTACTCAGTCGGAGAGAAGGAATCCAAAGAGAGCAATAATTCTACATAAGTCAATTAGACGTTTTTACACGTTGGCTCTCCAAATTGGAGGAAATAAAGAATCATATCATATTTTATCATAGATGAAGCAATCATCCCATCAACATAAGCTCACGAATGTCACCGTTAAACTGTTTTAGTTATAATTTGATAAACAGTGGTAACGTACATCTACTAGTTTATCACTGTTCCACAGATGGATGACAGATAATTTCCAATAGCTCGTCAAGTTTACCGAGAACGAAAGATGTTTGTCCACCATTTTGAATGATACTAACTGGAGTCAGGGTCATTAAGCTATGGAACAGTGGTTTATGAAAATAGATTGGGTTGCTAAAGCTTGCCATG